TCACCGAAGCCTTACCTACCCTTACGATTGACAGATATAGCTTCCCTGAAGCTATCCCCGACTACGAATACTGTTACCAGTTCCGCAGCCTCAACTTCTGCAAACTACCCCAACGACTAGCTGGCCGTAACAATAAGGGGCTAGCCTCTAGGTTTGTTTAATATAGAGGTGCCGTTAATTAACTATCTTAATGTTACGAGCAGGACAAGGCAACCAACTGTGGCACAAAGCAAAAGCTTCGATAATGATGACTCCGGCATCATTGTCCCTTGTTCTGCATTATATAGCTACGCGCCCACAGTGACAAGTTGCGGCGGGCGTAACACTTAAGTTAAAGAGAAAAAAAAAGAAATTATAAGAATAGTTATGTATAACTATGGGTAGTTTCAATTAATTAAACTTTGTTGATGTTGATCAAGATTGACATACGTGGAGTGGTTGCTGTCGATCGATCCGCTCGCTTGTCCGATCCGCTCGCTTATCATGCACGTTAGCTATAATATAATATACCCGGACTAGGCGGTATAATACAGTAGAATAGTGGTTCCGGCAAAGCCGGACATCTCGACCGGCTCCGGCCTACAGCACAACCAAATATAATAATCCAATGTAATGATCGGTTATTATAGGTCGCGGTCGGACAGCTTCCCAGCAGAGGGGTGTGCGTGCGGCTCCGGCAAGGCCGGAGATCTCAACCGGGCTCCAGCCCGTGACAGATGCAATCACCAACGGACCCCACCCTCATGGGCGGCGTTGGTAAGCTGCACATGTCGATTGAGGGATCTTATCACGACATGTCGGACCATGGCCGACATGAGCTGATGTTGTAGCCGATATCGCCAACGGAGACTCGGGAGGCAGTTCAATCTCCGACGAGAGAATTCAGATGGAACGCTGCCGACGTGGAATTATGCTTCGGAACCACTTAGCATTGCATGTTAACGAATACCGCTCTCAACTTCTCTTTCGTAAGAGTTTCAAACCACCGCATAGCCACCTAGAATCTCTACAATGCCTAAGAAAGTGAGAAGGGTGGCTGTTATTGGGGCCGGTCCGGCTGGGGCCATCGCAACGGACGCTCTGGTCTTCGAACGGCGCGACTTGGCTGGAGGAACTTGGTGAGCAAAGCCTCAATCTTCATGTCAATTGAGGATTTAACCATGATCTGACCTCCGAGTCTGCAGGGTCTTTACTCCAGAACTGCCGCCCAGAATCCCGTCCTTGCGCGCCTTAGTCGAACAACGTGCAAATGCCCCGATCGAGATTCCTAAAAGCTTTCCTACAGAAACTCCGAGATCTGAGAAGAATAACTCTCACCAATTGCGATACTCAGACACTAGTATTCATGAGACGCTGCACAGCAATATCACACCCGAAGTCATGGCGTTTACTCAAGAGCCAATACCCCAGATCCTATCCGATCGGAACTTGGCGCAATATGGCCCAGGCGCCCCATTCAGACACCGAGAACTTATTAGAGAATGGGTGGAGGGAATATTCACTCGAGGAGGCCACGATAAGTTGGTCGAATTCAGCACGACGATTGAGCTTGCTGAGAAGATAGGGGACGAGTGGTTTCTTACGCTGCGAAAGGTGGTGCCGGGGAAGTCAAGGATTACTGGTGGCAAGAAAGCTTGGATGCGGTGATTGCGGCATCGGGTCATTTCTACTTGCCTTACATCCCCGATATCCCTGGGCTTGTCGAATTCGACGAGAAATTCCCCGGCAGAATCAAGCACAGCAAGCATTTCAGTGACTCTGAAGAGTTTCGGGACAAGGTATGCCAGCGGCGCTCAAATTGGCATTTTGAGGTCGGAGCTAACTTGCTACAAAAAGTCATTGTTATTGGGGGCTTTGTATCTGCGTTTGATGCGCTGCACGACATTCAACTGGTCTCTCAAAGGCCAGTGATTGCATCTCTCAGAGAACCACTGGCCGCATTCGGGTGGGCGCCTTTCACCCACCCCGATATTGGCATCAAGCCACAGATCATCAACTTCTGTCCCAAAAGTGGACGTATCACGTTCAGTGATGGAAGTACCGTTGATGGTGTCGATGCCGTCGTCTTTGCGACGGGTTATGACTTTAGCTTCCCATTTTTGCCTGGGCAGAAGGTGGAGAACAGGCGAGTTCCTGGACTTTACCAGCATATCTTCAACATCGATGACCCAACCCTTGCATTCGTTGGAATGGTAAGCTTTCACCACCTTGTGCCTGGGGGACTGGAGACTGACTCACGCGTAGGTAACTGGCGGCTTTACTTTTCGCGTCTTTGAGTGGCAGGCCGTCGCAGCGGCACGAGTCTTTGCGGGACACGGGAAGTTGCCCCCTCGCCTTGAGCAGGAAAAGTGGGAGAAGGACAGGTTGGTGTACAAAGGCGACGGCGTTCCCTTCTTCACTCTTGTACCCGACTTTGAGCAATACTTCGATGCATTGCGGACAATCGCCGGTGAGCCTGTGCAGGGGACTGACTACAGGCAGAATTTTGCCAAAGTTCGACCCAAAGTGGCTCGAAGCGTTCTCGGAGGTTCTCGACGCCAGAATTAAGTGGTGGAAGGAGACTAAGAAGGCTGAAGATCAATTGAAGCTTGCGTTCAAGTCGAAGCTGTAGAACGAAGATAGATGGTATTATGTACTATTCAAGTGGTTTCAATCTTATCGCGGTTTAAAGCCACCCATGCTTCTGCCAGAAACGCGTGCAAGCCCGTAGATAAAAGCTTCCGCAAGCGATGCCAGGAGCGGTGTTTCAGATGCCCCCTGAGACAAGCTCTCACTCTGTCTTCCGAGGTGTTAATCTCACATTAAGAGGACCCTTCTTCCACAAGCCAAATAGCTGTTGATCGGTCCAGTTCTTGCTGTCGTCCGCGATTTGCATGTCGAAGTTCCAAATGACTCTTGCAAGGATGACTCGCATCTCAGACATGGCCAGGCTGTGAGAATCAAGTCAGTAAATGTATCATGTCTCAAAAATTCTTTGGTTTCACGTACTTCCGGCCGATGCAGTTTCGAGGACCAAAAGAGAATGGCTGAAGTGCCGCTTTATCATCATTCTCGAAGCGCGAATCTCCAAGCCACCTCTCAGGTATGAAAGAGTTGGGCTCGACGAAATACTTCTCGTTGTGATACATGGGCCACTGGGAGACCATCACTCTCGTCTGTTTGGACTTGATTAGCAACACAATATCTTCAGACTCGGAAGAAACTTACACCGGCAGGCACGAATCTCTCGCAGATGTAGTCACCACCCGGCTTCACAACTCGAGTGAGGCCCATGGGTACGACTGGGTAGACGCGCATACTCTCGTCGAGGACTGCGAGCATATAACGGAGTTTTTGAACGCTGAGAACGTCGATTTCTTGCTCCGAGCTGAATGAAGTGCGGACTTCTTGTGCCAATTTGGCCATGGCTTCGGGGTGCATGGTGAGGAAATAAGTTACTCCCGAAAGCACTGATGCCGTCGTCTCTGAGCCGGCGATGATCAAGGTATCTGCAGTTTGCTCAATTTCCGGTTTTGACATGGCCTAAACAGCAATTCTGTCAGATTCGCTACCGAGACGTATGGACCAGGAAACATCAAATGGTATGGGCCAGACTTACCAAGGGGCCTTCCTTCATCATCATAGACTGAACAAAGTCGGGCCTCGATTCCCCTAGTGCCATGCGACGTTGAACCTTTTCCTGGCTCATATCGTTGTGGAACTTTGTCTTATTCTTCAATTCTTTCGGAATCAACCACTTGGCAAATGGACGCGTGATCCAGTACCTCTGGAACTGATTCCGCCATACACCAGCATGGATGTTGTCGAAAATGATTGACACCCATGGGTGATAGTCCGAATTCTCGAGACAACCAAATGGCTCACCGAAAGCCAGATCTCCAATGATGTCAAAGGTTGTCCAGTTGTACCACGAAACCATGTTCAGCGCCTTTCCTCCGTCCTCGCAGTTCTCATGAAGTCGCCGGATCAACAAGTCGATTTGTGTTTGGATGAGAGGTTGCTGATCAACCATGGCCTGGGCGGAGAATCCGTGGGCCAGAACGCGGCGAATACGTGCATGATCCTCGCGGCCAGAGTTAATGATGCTATGCGGCTTGTATCTGGCGTTGACGGGGTCTTTGTAGTTCTCCATGCCACCGCCGCCCTTGCTGTGGCCCATCAAGTCCTTGAAAGCGCGCGGATCGGCCCAGTCGATCGTGTCTGGGCCGAGCCTGACGACTGGTCCATATTTGTTGTGAAGCTCTGCCAGTCTCTTGTGAGCCTTACCACTGGTGATCATTCGGCTAAGCGGGATCCGAGTAGCGGCATGGAGCTTCGGGCCAGGGTAGTCTTTGAGCGGATGGAAGTAAATATTGTAGACCACCCTTGAGATCAGACGGAAAACTCCCTGTATCACCGTTCAGCATGTGACTTTCCAACATCAATGTAACAACTCCGCAACGACTTACCAAGGCAACCAGGACAATTGGCAAAGCGACCGCGAGCCGCACATTGCCTAAAGTTGAGATATCGTGTGGAATAATCATGTTGAATGCTGTAGCGTTGTTGGCAAATTACCCGATGGTTGGCTAGTTGGTTCTGACAGGAAGTGAACTCTTTCTGCCCAGTACTTTCCCATGATATCAGCGGGATGGTGAGCAGCTTATATCTGCCCGAATGCAGACGAAAACTTATTTCCGGGCGCATGCTCGCCGAAGACGCAAAAGACACGTTTACGACCGGAGCCGAGCCCGCCCCGGGGATGAACGGTGTAACCTCTAGCCAATTGAAACAGTACGGCTTCCCATCCGATGATCCCCAGTGACGTTGCACAGCGAAATGTCGAGGCGGGGGAGTCGTGTTTGTTGGGGGCTTGAGCGTAGAGCGGCATTTGGGATGGTGGGACGCCGCGTTTCATGGCCACACACATCTGACGGCGCTGACCATGAGGGCGCGGATTTCGGGCTTCTGGAGGCTCCCGGATTATGGTCCGATGTATGTCTCGCCTTACTTGTTCTACGAGAGGACGCTGTTGAGTGTAGCATTGGTACGAGCGAGGGTGCGAACGCGAATGCCGGAATACGATGGGTGAAAGTGGTAAGAACTGTTTTGGGACGGGTTTGCATTGATGTTGGCGCGAGTCGTTTAGATGACAGCTCCTTGCCCGCCAGACGCACATGGAGCTCGATGATCTTCAGGGTCGCGTACGAATACTCGCGCCCCCGGACGAGCGTTGCCGGCGTTGCCGGCGTAGCGCGGAGTGCATATGCAAGGGCACGGCGCGGGGTTGGGAGAGATGGCAGAGTCTCCGCCGGCAGGAATTGGAGATATCTTCGGTCCCGAATATCCCCCTCCGTGGTACCGATGCCCGGATTGCTGCAGAGCCACGGTTTGTGGCAACGTTGCTGACGAGTGACAAGATCGGCAAGGTTGTGCCACAGTAACAGAGTTGTGTTCAGCTGAGGCGACGTATAGGCTGATGCGCTATAATTCGCGGCATCGGCGCCGAACGGCTGACACGTCGACATTCCGAAGAACGTTTACATGCTCGCATTGTGACTCCTCTTGGAGCACAGCTGATGCCTTTGGCCTTGAGAGACAACCATACTCTGTAGACCACCGAACTTTGCTGGTTCTAAGGGTGAAATGCCCGCTGAAAAGCTCCACATGGTTTGCCTCTATGTCAGGTTCCCAGAGCTTATGAGTAACCGTATTCTCTCCCTCCGCATTGGGCTGTGCGTGCAATTACCTTTCACCTAGAGACAGACTCAAGGTTCATCGGGGAGGTTCCTTCGGAAACTGCGGGTTATCAGAAGCCCCCCGAACCCTTTAACGGACTTTGAACTACACAAGGTTAGTCATGGTCGGGAAATACATCCTTCAATTCTCAACTAAGGCCACCTGAGAATCTATGCTACATCTTCCCACATCACTTGCCCAGTTTCAACTTTCAGTCTCCGTCTCACTGAGGCGAAATGGGCGCTTTGGCCAGTTGAACCCCAGCAGGGAATGCTGCTGACTACACAGCATCAACAGACCCATGAGCTCTTCCCAACACACTTAACAGCTTGGCGACACGTGATGAGACACTTCCAGATTCATCGCAATCTCAGGGGGTTCGCAATCCTAGGATACGAGGTCTCGAAAAGGAGTAGCCTCAGCAATATTCCACTGCTTCACCTTTTCATGCTCGGTCACTTGAGTTCAGAGTCCCAAGCCTCAAACTGCCGAAGAGTGAGAGACCTTTGAGGAACACTACGTCCCCGCCGCAATCACGCCTGGAGGATCTGATTGACCGGGAACGCCGGTCGAAGAGTCATGGAGACAGCTTTCAAGCGCAAACCCCTGCCAGGCCCTCCGCCGGGTCCTCCGCCGCCTCCGGATTTTGACCCTTTTCCCCAACGTCAGTGCCCTCTCCGCGCCGCCCGATCGACGCCGAATATTCGGCAGTCTGTAGCAACATCAATCTACGATCCTCCGCCTGCATATGAGGAGTTCCCTGGAGTCGATGCTAACGGTCGTCTGGCTTTCGCCGCTCCTACCCCAGACTTCGGACCCGGCAGGATTCCATCACCAGGTCCGGCAACCCCGGGATCATACTTTTCTCCCACAATTCCTCCCGTCGCTGCTCGTAAGGAGTATACACCTTATCGACCATCACCGTCACCTTCACTTGTCGCAGATGAAACAGCTTCGCCCACACCGACCCTTCAAGGGCCATCCTTTCCTGGCCCCTCAACAGCCCAGACGTTCCCGGTGGCAGGTTATCGTCCTTCTCCATCGCCAACACCATCTAGCCCTGGATCTTTCTTCCCTGGCCCTCCCACAACAGCAGAAACATTCTCATTAGCACATCGACCCCCTTTGTCTCCCAATTGCCCCCCATCAGAAACCACGTCAACAAACACTCAATCAACAGAAAAGACCTTCTGGCAAACAGCTCTAGATGAGACAAAGTACTTTGCAGGTGGGCTAATAAGCCATCCATTCGAGTACACCAAACACTACTCCATCCTCCGCCATTCAGGCGCCCTTGTATGGTACCGCGGCCCGTCGACCTCTGTCACTGTCACAATCTTCTCCGACGCTCCTCTGCCACCCACGCGGACAATATGGCTCCAACAAAAGGGCTTCTCAGGGAACATGGGCATGAACTTGAAGTACCTTATCGGCGCAAACACATCATGGCTCGATGTAACACCTTCCACGCAAGGAACGCCAGCAGCCATGGCCGAAGGTGACGAAAGAGGTTGCCAGCGCGATTTGAAGAAGTTTCTCAAGAAAGCGCCCAAGAATCTGGCAAAGCATGTGCCGAGGGAGACACACGTCGTGCGCATCCCTGCCGCTGCCGATGACGGGTACTTCCGGCTCGTGCTATGCGCTGGAGGCGGCGGTGACGGGAGCAAGAGGAAGGTCCTTTGCCCTAGTCCCGTCTTCCGCGTCGCGAGTACGTCAACGGATATGAGTGTTACCCGTGGCGCAAGCTTTGCCAGTATGCCACTGGAACTTGGGATCAAGGCGGGCTCTGTCGTTGCGACGACTGTTGTCAATAAGTACATCGGACCAGCTGCCGCCGTAGTGCAGTCTAGAACGAAGAAAATCTCGCAAGGAAAGTTTGTCACGAAGCATGCTGCTCACATTGTATATGCCAAGTCGGGCATAGAAAAGTCCGGTATCAAGACGCATGTCACGGCATACGAGGAGCAGTATGCCAGCACGAGAGGTGGGGGATACGATGCCTGGCAATCTGGTGAAGGTGGATTCCAAGAGGCGCCTCCCGAAGTCATCGGTGCCGACTCCGGTCCTACCGACCCATTTCCAATCAAGTTCGACGGCGGAGTTGTTCGCGGTACGGGAAGAGGAGGCATGGAACTTGGTATCCCGACAGCGAATCTTGAGGGCGTAATCGAAGACGTGAGAATGCGAATGCGCGGCGTCTACTTTGGCTGGGCAAGAGTCGTTCCCCGCTCTGGATTGGAAGCGATATCGACAGACTGGCACGAGAGCATCATCACCGTCGGCCCTGCTCCGTACGCCACACCACGGGTAGCCGCCAAGAACGTCGCCACGGTACACCTGATCCACGAGTTTGGCGGCGCTCTCTTCCTCGACACGAAGCTCAAGGTTCTCGTCATGGGCCAGTTGCGGGTGTCTGCACCTCCCGTTGCTGGTTCCGAGGCTGCGCTCGAGGCCTATGGGGCGGATATATTGCTTGCTGTGGCTAGTCTGAGTCGTGACAACTGGTTTCCTATCGAGACGCGGGAGCGGATGAGAACCATGCGGAGCGAAATGAGTCTGGCTGATCGGTACGTCGAGACGAGGGAGAGAGTTCAAAAGCAGGTAGATCGTATACCGGTTCATTTAGCTGGCGTGAGAACGGAAGGGGCTGCGTTAAGAGATCGGGCATATGGGAATGGAGGGATTTGGATCCCAAGATGATGCATGTGTTCACCTAGAGGTGATTAGGATTCTGCTTGCGCCACATGTAGTATTCACTTCGTGCCCCTATAGACCGGGCATATAGACACTTTGAAACTAGACGTTTAATATTTTCCATACCTACGACCTTTAGGTACCTTACTGAGCAGGCAGGTACTGACCGTCCTTTCCACAAGCGACGCTGCATATTCTTGTCTACATATATACACTACAAAGAAGCCCATGGAGGTCCCGGCAATTCTATTCTTGTCACCAGCCAGGAGGCGGCTCCCAAGGTCAGGGGGCCAGGTTAGACTGGCAAGGTAGTGGGAGGGTTAAAGGTCCAAGAATCAATATACACTCGACGGCAGGCTCCGACTTCGATTCCCAGCATGAGCACTAAGGGATATAGCTACACCGGTGGTGAACTATTTTTTTTGATTTTCTAGACCTCTTGATAACCATATCAGAAATTACCACTCTCGATCGGACAATCCCTACCAAATCACACTTTGAAATCCCTGGTCATTTCCTACACTATCTCTGTGACGCCAGGTCTGCATCAACCTGTCCCCGTCTCGTGGCAAAGTCTCTTCACACCTCCTTGAATTCATTTTCCAGACCCTTAGCTTGAATATCCATCACACAGGCAGGTTCTTACGGTGGTAGGACGTTGTTCTCGATGGCTTCCCAACAGTGATCGCAAAGTTCATGACTCTGAATATCATCGATCGTCTTAGCGACCTGTTTGAGAGAACTGTTAGCATCCTGATGGCTCCGCCGTGTAGGACGATAATCTTGGAGACGAGCAGTTTAGAGAATGTGACTTGCCTCATATAAGCAGCCAAGCTTGTCCTTTTTGCCAATCTGGCCTATGCCCTTTGTACCCACAACGTCAATGAGGCACTTGGCAGACGTGAAGCCGAGCTCAACTCCGCATCTCACGACGTGGCATCCGTCAATCACGAGGCCATCATCCTCTTCGAGCAACTTCTGCTCAGCTTTATCGAGCTCAACCCATATGGCTTTCCCAGCCTCGCTCGAAACATCAACAACATCGGAGAGGAAGTCCAGGAAATCGTCCCAAATTCCCGGCACTGGGGCGGGTGCTGGCCTGGGTGACCGGGAAATATAATTTGGTGCAAGGCCCGTTGAGAGTGAAAGCATGGAGAGAAAAGCGAAAAGGGAAATGAAGGCCTTCATTTTGGAGGTAGTACAACTGGTAGACTTTGCTAAGTAGTCGAATGATGTTTGGTTCTGTTGCAACTCCAGGTTCGTTTGCACGACTAATGATCTCTTTCCATGGAAGAATCCTCGCCCTTTATGTTGAAATCTGGCACCCTCTCTCCAAATTGATTGTGCATTTCTCATGCTTGAGATAACCTATTTTAAGACTCGCGAGCCTTCAAACCCTCGTGAATAACAAGCACATTTTGACTCCAACATTTTCTATCACGGGAAGCCGTTATTTTCTATTTTTGTCCGAGCCTGCTTCTGAGCTGACTCTTCGAATGCGGGCTCTCCCCTTCGCGTCGGCAGAGGTGGCTGTGCGGATCCTTCCCAAACGAGGCTGCGAACCAGATAGCTACCCACCCAAGTGCTTGCATATATTAAGCGCCAGAGTTGATGCTGTCACAACGCATACAGATTTCTGTTGGTTTCCGCTTTGGGGGTATGACAAGTATACTTGGGCGCTCTGAGTCATTGCAAGTCTTTTTCCAAAGCCTCACAGTACACATTCTTCCGTCACTCCATCAAATTACGGTGGTGCTCTGCTCTGGAGTCGCGTGGATAGCTCCGCTGATCGCTGATGCATTTGTAAGACTAACTTGTAGCGTGAATCCTTCAGATTTGGTTTCACACAAAGCCTGCGTGGAAGGCCGTGTGTTGTGTCAAGGTTGTGTGCATATGTACTTATGTGTACTTCCGTGACACTGGCTAGATGCCCATCTGCCGTGCCAGTTAGTTACAACCAAGGTGCATGTCAGGGACTTATATTCAGGTTGTGAAATCTATAATTGATTACTCTTTATTGCTCGTCCTGAGCCTTCTAGTCTCCCAGCTTTCCCCAATATGATTTGAAGATTTCTATGTATCTAACGTCCAGTCTCTTCCACAATCAGGTATTACCTCGGTGATGGAGGCAATGATATCAGCGCCTTCATGTCTGCACGCGCTGTCATACCCGAACTACAAAGAGGTATAATCAAAACCAAGAAATGGGATGCAGATCAGGCGCAAAATGAGCAGGGTGTGCGCAAGCTCTAAATGCTCACCTTGCCCTGTCTGTTCCAAGGCTCTCGGTCGCCACGAATGTTTCAAAGCCCGAGGCTCAAGCAGTCAAAAACTTGCTTCTTTGTCTCAACTTCCCGCCGTACTTGAAAAGAAGCCAGGGGATGGGTATTAGGGGAAGTGAGAGGAATGCAAACACGCTGCCAGCCCACTGTACGCCCAACTTCTCATACATCTGGAGGGTGAACAGGGGAAAGACAGCGCCCAAGATGTATCGAAGTATCCCATTTGCGGCCAGAGCTAGAGAAGAAAATTAACATTGTTTTGGACGAGACAGGAGGTTTTCCATAATGACGTAGATGAACTCACCGGATGCCGCGGCTTTCTGGCCATAAAAGTCGACCATGTAGGTGATAACCGACAACTTGAGTGAGTTAGCCAAAGTCTCCGACCGAGATCGGGAGTTTCAGAACTCACAAATAGCCAAAAAGCGCCGAGCCCGAAAGGGATAGCAGCCGCAACCAAAGCAGCCCAGTGACCTCCACGATGTGATTCCCAGGCATACCAGAACAATCCTACAGGGAGAGCGACGCTACCAACGAGCGCTGCATACAGCCGCTGCTCTGGAAATCCTTTGCCAGCCTGAACAGCGGGTATTCTGAACTTCGCATCGAGAAACGCAAAGACAAATGTAGCGAGGAAATAGCCAATGATGATGCTGAGAAAGCTCAGTCCCACTTCCCTCAGATTGAATCCATAGTACTTCTGGAGGACATAGGAGCAGCTGCCGAAATAGCTGAAGATCATGGCATAGGCGAAAGCCGTGTAGATGGCTAGCGACGAAACAGTAACCTCAGTGAGCAGCATCTTCGTAGGTCTCATTACCGCGGTCTGCACAATGCTGCCAAGTCGCGCGAGAGTGATGGGTTCTTCTCCCGACTCTTTGCGCAGAATCCAGGCTTTCGATGTCTCCTTCATCAGCATGGCGCCAACCCAGATCGGCGCGCCAACCATGAGGAGAACATATTGTGTCCATCTCCAGTCGTTATCTCTGTCGTGTAGGATGTAAGCACCAGCCAAGGGCCCCAACGTCGGTCCCAGAAACGGGCCAAGGATATACAACAGTGATGCGCCAGCCCCCTTGCCGAGTTCCCAAACGTCGGTAATGGTTCCGGCACCGACAGCGATACCGGCTGAGCCCAGTGTTCCGGCTATGAAGCGACAGGCAAGGAGACCAGAGAATGTATTTACCGCCGACGCACCCCCGAGGAACGCGAGGAGAAATATGCAGGACCCAGCGTAAATCCACTTACGGCCAATGACTTCGGAAAACGGTGCTATGAACAGCGGACCGATGGCGAGACCGAGTGTGTAGAGCGTCAACGGGAGTATAGACTTCGTGCGTGAGACAGAGAACTCTTGCATTATTAGACTTGTCGCGGGGACTGTTATTGAGGTTGCGAATGTGCTGTAGGATTTCTCATGTTAGATCTAAGAACAACGAATATGGGAGTTGGAGTCGAACCGACATCTCAAATGCTAAGAAGCACGGAATCGCCGTGTGAAAGAGCCTTGACAGAAAGCTCCAGTTCTTGGGGTTTCTTGATTTGCGAGGGTCGTCCCATGAAAGCCGTTGTTGGCCGCGATGTTCGAAGGAAGTGCTGTCCTCGCCGGCCTTTTTTCAACATTTTCTTCAGGGCGGTCTATCACCGGAGGTTTGATGGAAGATGCTTGGCTTGTTGTGCTCATTTCGCAGCAGCGATGGTGTCCTGTATAGACTTCTGCGGGTGCTTGAGATGAGGGGATGCTTGGCCTATCTACAACCCAGTGCCACAGCCCTGGGACAGGTAAATCTATATACCAGGCAGAATCTGGATAAGATCTGTCGAGAGGATTGGGATATCGGCGTCTAGCGGTTCTGAATTCCGTGTCATTGATTACCTTTTCGGAATTCAGGTGGCAGGTTTACTTGACCAGCTGTTCATGCTGAAGACTCCAAAGTTAAAAGAGCGGACGACCGGCTCTTGTCCCTGATTCATATCTCTTCAGTGTAAGCGCTACATGAAGATTGGTTGCCATGCCCCTCGGCCTATGGGTATTGTGGTTGTTGAGGGATTACTGATCTCTTGTGACAAGGAATATACCGGTGGGATGAAGCAATGAGATGAACCTGCATTGAAGTTGAGTTAAGTTGAGATGTTGTGGCCCGAACATTGGCTTTGAAAGTTGAAGGTCATGATACATAACAATTAATTGTGAGAACTACAACTTTTCTCTTTTTAATCTCTCAAGATCCTTTTCCAGACTGCTGGACTCCCTGTAACCCGAGAACAGCCTCGTGTGTATCTGAGATTGTGAATTGGCATACTGTTACTGATTAGTGAACAGGTCCGCGGCTGGCGCAACCGCGCTAGTGTCCCACGAATTTGCCAATCTGAAATCTGAAATCTGAAAGCACTGGGAAGACTGGATTATGCCTTCGGTGTCCCAGGGTCCTATGACCCTATAGTTACACAGACGAAGGAAGTAGCAGCTAGGATCTTCCAGGCCTGGCTCAAGACTGTGCCAGGTCAGCATACAGTCGTATACTCAGACGGCTCCAAAGCTCCTGACGGGGCTACAGGGTTCGGCTTTGTTATCTACCGCAACAATAAACGTATAGCCCAGGGCTGCGGCCGTCTCGGCTTAGCAGAAGTGTTTGATGGTGAGGCGGAGGGGGCGAGGGCTGGGCTCCGACGGGCCCTTCAGACCTCCCAAGGCCAGCCTATACACATCTGCATCGACAATACCAGCGTTATTCAGGGGATTCGCGGTAAGGTCCCAGACTCCTCACAAGCGGCCTTCCTTGAGATCCAGGAGGTAACTAGGATACACGATATACAAACCCATTGGTCTCCTGGGCACCAAGGTATTAAAGGAAACGAAGAAGCAGACAGCCTAGCTAAGGAGGGAACAACTCTACCAGTCCTTAGGGGCCAACTAGCTACTCTATCAGGTATCAAGTGGCTTGCTAAAGAGCGGCCAAGACGCCAATATAGACGATGGTGGAAACAAGAGGCAACTCCCCGCTATACCCAACTAGGGCTCAAGGCTACCCTTGCTTGCCCTCCTGAACTTGGCCTCCCTAGGGCTGCCCTTCATCACCTCCTCGCGGCACGGTCAGGCCACGGGGACTTTAAACAATATCACCAACGCTTTAACCACACAGAAGCACTACTCACCTGCTCCTGTGGGTGGGTTAAGGAGGCAGACCATCTAGTCTACTGCCGAAAGACCCTACTGAGGAGGCAACAGTGGCCCACCCTCTACCCCTACAGCCGCCAGGAGCCCGTAGGACCTATAGGGTCCCTCGATCGCTACTTCAAGGGGCTAATCACTGACTCTGAAGGCTTCCAGGCCTTCCTCTGCGTGACAGACTTCTTCCAGAAGATCTGCCCGCGGTACTAGGAGATAGGTCATAACCTATCCTCCAAACGACAAACTACCTCTATTAAGAAACCAGATGGTTATAACGGAACTAGGGCACCAGTGGGAACTAGGGATGGATAGAACACATAGTAGCTCACGAGCAAGATTTGGAGGACGTCAAGATACGGCGTGTACTATATAGTATATAGCTAGAGCCTGCGACCCTTCACGCCACATACCCTCCGGGAGGTCTGCCGCAAGGGCGGCTGCGCCCTTGCCGCCATGGCGTTAAATATAAAACAAACAAAAACATCACAGACTTTACTATTATTTTACTACATATCCATATCTTTCACTTCAAACTGACTATGTCGACTGTTGCCACTGCCTCTACTACGAACGCGTATGCGTTGATGGGTGCCCCGCGCCTATGCGTCTCTACGTAAATCGCGAACGCCCTCCTCGTCGCCATCCCTCCAGCCCCTACTACGGACGACTTACCTCAGATTGTCGTAGGCCCCAAGCGGTATGTGCTTGAGACGTAGTTATCGAGACTGGCTGAAGAGGGGGGTAGTGATGCTTCAGAATAACTTCGGGCTACTGGGATCATCGTGAGCCTCATATATGGCGTAGTTTTGTATGGTGATTGAATTATTATACTTGGAAGTAAGCCAATTAATCATACCCTCGTGAAAAAAAGTCATCAGCAGCAAGTTTGGGGGTTAAATTTGCTTTGATTGCACTTGCGGTAGCGCTGCACTGTACCCCGTACAGTGTACGTGTGCCTGGAATTGCATACTCTACTGACAGCCAAGTCTCATCAAGATGTGTACGATTGTTGTTGCGCTTGAAATTGCCTCTTTGATGTGGATTTAGCATCGCGCGGAACACTGCACATAGATTTGCTCACTGATTCGCTTTCACCTCAGCTGGAATCAACATAGGTAAGCTATTTGCCCTCTTTTCTGGACTGCTTATGTGACCACAGCGCCTCAATGGCTGACGCCGAGGCAGACTCAGTAGCTCTGTGATACTGCAGCCTGCTGGTTTGGCACGTTCGTCTCAAGCAGCCACCGCAGCGAATAATAATGAAGGCAGAACTTACCTGGTAAACTTGCGTGTACTGCTCTCATCCTGCATGTCTCACCATTCCCACATTCACCAACCCGAGTCTGAAGGCGGGTGCGATGACAGAACAAGACGTGAAGGCGCTGCACATACATGCGTTGCAGCACTGCTTCGCCTCTAACAATGCACGACAGCTAGAAGTGGTACACCAATAAGACGACCAACATGGCGACACATTCAGCGACAGCAGAACAAGACGCAATCATAGCCGTGATAAACCAGACACCCTATTGCGCTGTGTACACAAACACTGGAGTCTTGTCGTTGGCCATGTTTACAGTACTGTAATGTGAGTGTATGGTTTTCTATCCGTGCGGCAAAGTACAACTGGCTCGACTTCGGCGACGCTCGCGTGGCTGTGCCTCCGCCATTTATCTGCCACTCTAGGCATTTTGCGACCAGCTCAGCGGTCTGCCTGTAATCAATGCAAGCTCCGCTCAGATGTGCGCTGGCATACTGCCATCAATCTGCCTGTGGTGGTGCGAAGATGCCCTGCACCTGGCCTATGCGATGGTTGGCTGAAAACCAGTCCCTTCCGTGTACCATCGTCAGCCGAGTGAGACCAATAAAATGACGTCTTTCTGCGCTAGTGCACTCCTGCCTTGGAGGCGCACTCACTACAGCTCCTTATTCGTCCAGTAACCTACCTGTATGCATTCACGCCTGACACGGTGACATAAATGTCAATCAGCCAGAGGAAACGCATTTGTCAAAGGTCAGGCGCTCGCCAATAGGAACGTACATAGGTCCGGCTAGAGAATCAGATAAGTAGTCATTTGTTCTGGTCACACTTGCTTCGCGCCAGCCTCCTCTCATTCCATCCACTGATCGATGGGCTGCCTTCTATGGTTCCCACGGACTTTCGACGGATATCGTCACCTGAGAACTACAAAATCAAAATTTCACTTCGCAAGGCAGCTCATTTCCCCATGGATCGTCACGATTGCAGTATCGCATGGGTTCTACCCTCACCTGAGTACCATACGATTGCTCAGAGATTCTTCGACGAGTTCTACAATTATGTTTCCACGACCCTTTGGATGACCTATAGCATTGGAAGAGTTGGACAACACCATGTTGTAGCTGCGAGCAAGACGACCAGTGATGCTTCGTCGTTACACACTAAAGACCGTATCGACAACTTATTACGGGATTTCCCATCCGTCCGGGCTGGGTTCTTAGCAAGCGTCAATGCTGTCGCGTTGACATCAGGCCCTGTTCGCGTCGGTGATGTCCTCGTTGGAACGAAACCGAACCTCCAGAGTGCAGTCATCTACTTCAGCGCCAAGGAAACAGTATCCCAACAGCGGCTCGTTGTGACTCGTGAGCCACGGCACATACCTGAGTGTGCGGCGATAGCCGTTGAGTCAGTTCGTACAAAGCAGGGTCGTGATGACTGGTTCAGAGTACTCGGCGAGGTCAGCCAGCAAAATCAGCGGAAGGCTTATCGTGGTGCAATAGCATCTTCCTCGGGGCCTTTCGATGAGGCTGCTCTCATCGACCTCTTCAAACACGATAGCAATGTTCTTTGCATCGATACAATTGCTGCAAGTATGGATTCCCAATCACTTGTGGTCGTTGCCGGCATTTCTCGCTATGCTGAAAGTGGCAAAAGCTCGCGGCCGCTCACACAGGTCCACGAGACAGTCTTCTCATATCTGTATTGCATAGTCCACCATTTGAGTATTGAAAAACTCAGCACCGAACCACCTTTGACAAGTTACTTTAAGTATGAACCGTTCGATCTAGACCGAGCACACTTTCGACTCGTTATACTTCACAAAGGCTCCAAACACGACGAGATTCGCTGCAGCCTTTTTCAAGCATGCCTTCCCGATCGCCAAAGCCAAAAGACGGAAGCAAGCATCCAAGACGTTGAAATCTTTCTACCATATGAAGCTTTGTCGTACTGTTGGGGTGACGATGCCAGATTGCGCAACAAGATCACAGTCGACGAGAAAGCGCTCTTCATCACTGATAATCTACTCGACGCTCTTCGAAATGTGAGGCGAACTGAGGTAGATCGCATCCTCTGGGCTGATGCTATTTGCATCGACCAAAGCAACGTCCTAGAGCGTGGCCATCAAGTTGGATGGATGGGCGAAGTGTACAAGCATGCTAATGAAGTTTTATGCTGGCTGGGACATGTGGAACACACCACCAGTCCGATACTTGCGCTGCTTGAGAAGTTCAAGCGCGAGGTTCCACAAAAAGCATGGAAGGGTTGGTCTGTTGACGATCATGGATGGCGTGGGGTCTGGGAGCGAGTGCATGTGGATCCAACACGGCACGACTACCATTCGCAGCTCAAGGACCTGATGGCTAATGCCTGGTTCAGTCGGGTGTGGATTTTACAAGAGGTGGCTAACGCTCGCAGAACGTCAATTGGCTGTAGTGAGGGCTGGATCGACGGGAAGGCCTTCGCCATGGCACCGTCACTTCTCAATGTGGACCCAGGCACGCAGTGTCAGGCAGTAATTGACATCATGCCAGGTCCAACGCGGTCGTCTTCATGGTGGGCCCAAAAGCCGAACATATGCTCCCTCTTGTGGAGGTTCAGAGAGAGTCAAGCGACTGATCCCCGCGACAGACTCTATGCGCTCTTAGGTCTTGCTTCTGACTTGAAAGGGAAGATTAGAAGACTCAAAGCAGATTACACAATATCAGAAGAAGCAGTTGCGAGAGATGTTCTGTCTTATTTATATGGCAGCGACATGTCCATCGGTACCATCAATCGACCGAGAATTGCTGGTATTCAGGCAAGAATTCTGAATTATTCCGCCGCAGCACTAGAGAAAGTTGTCTTCTCGGGAGTGGACGTCAAAGCCGTGGATGACTATGTACGGAGAGAAAATTCAATGGTCTGGCTCACAGAAGACATCGTTCAGATATTAACGAAGGATTATTCCGGCGGGAAGGTGATGGAGCTCCTGATAAGAGAACAGGCAAACATGGTCGTGACAGAGCGCCTTGTCAAATTCATAGCTCGCAATTTCGGCAGCGATTGTTTGAGGCTGCTGCTGGATCGACGATACAGAGAAGTCGTTATCACAGAGAAGATCATCGAAGCCGCTGCAGGGAACCGGAAGTCTGGCGCCCAGATCATAGAGCTGCTGCTCGACGGACGGACAATTATCGACGTTACCGAAAGCTTCCTCGTAGCCCTTTTCAGCAACTTCAACAGTAATTGTCTGAAGCTGCTGCTAGATCGACGAGGCGGAGAAGTCAACATCACAGACAAGGTCGTTGAGGCCGCTGCAAGGAACCGGGAGTCTGGCGCCCAGATCATAGAGCTGCTACTGGATCGACGAGGCGGAGAAGTCAACATCACAGACAAGGTCGTTGAGGACGCTACAAGGAACCGGGAGTCTGGCGCCCAGATCATAGAGCTGCTGCTGGATCGACGAGGCGGAGAAGTCAATATCACAGACAAAATCGTTGAGGACGCTACAAGGAACCGGGAGTCTGGCGCCCAGATCATAGAGCTGCTACTGGATCGACGAGGCGGAGAAGTCAACATCACAGACAAGGTCGTTGAGGACGCTACAAGGAACCGGGAGTCTGGCGCCCAGATCATAGAGCTGCTACTGGATCGACGAGGTAGAGAAGTTAACATCACAAACAGGGTCGTTATAGCCGCTGCAGAGAACTGGGAGTCTGGCGCCCAGATCATAGAGCTGCTACTGGATCGACGAGGCGGAGAAGTCAATATCACAGACAAGGTCGTTGAGGCCGCTGCAAGGAACCGGGAGTCTGGCGCCCAGATCATAGAGCTGCTGCTGGATCGACGAGGCGGAGAAGTCAATATCACAGACAAAATCGTTGAGGACGCTACAAGGAACCGGGAGTCTAGCGCCCAGATCATAAATCTACTGCTAGATCGACGAGGCGGAAATGTCAATATCACAGACAAAATCGTCGAGGCCGCTACAAGGAACCGGGAGTCTGGCGCCCAGTTCATAAAGCTGCTGCGAGATCGACGAGGTAGAGAAGTTAACATCACAAACAGGGTCGTTATACCCGCTGCAGAGGACTGGGAGTCTTGCGCCCGGATCATAGAGATGCTACTGAATCAACGAGGCAGAGTGTCAGAGCCCTCCCCGATAGGGGCTAGTTAGAGGTAGTAAGGAGTCCAAGCAACAAAGGAGTAGCTCAGACATATATTCAGCGCAGGGAGTACACGTCGAGGGAGGAGCAGATTTCAGTAATTCATCATTCTATCCTTAACTATAATTAGCCTCTATGAGCTTCTACTCTACGCCAGCATCATAACTTAATAATCTAAAATCTCTACCTATAAAGGGGACCAGGCCAGAAGCTTAAAATACCAGCCCAGACGAGACGTAGCGAGAGAGCATAGTTAGTATAACGATAATATAAAAAAAAGATATTATTTTCCGACCTCCTAAATGTTACGAGAAGGACAAGGCAACCAACTGTGGCACAAAGCAAAAGCTTCGATAATGATGACTCCGGCATCATTGTCCCTTGTTCTGCATTATATAGCTACGCGCCCACAGTGACAAGTTGCGGCGGGCGTAACAATATTAACCCCTCTTTTCCCCTTCTTTTAGGCCGCAATTATATTAATAATAACCGACTATCGTAACTATAAAAGAAAGAATGACTTTTAAAGGAAGAAATCCTTATTATTATATATAAAGAATGCTTATATAACAGGCGCGCCGATCTAGAACGCCTCTAAAGCGCTTTAGCTAGCCCGGCCCCCGGATCAAAATAAGTAGTTTTAGCCTGTTACGGCCAGCTAGTCGTAGGGGTAGTTTGCAGAAGTTGAGGCTGCGGAACTGGTAACAGTAATCGTAGTCGTGGAATAGTTTCAAGGAAACTATGTTTGTCAATCGTAAGGTAAGGTAAGGCTTCGGTGATCAATCGTATGTTACGACCCAACATGCACGACCAAGAACAGGGCCTGCCCCGCAGGCTTACGACGGTTACTACGCCATACATGCACAGGACAAGGGGACACAAGGCACCCTCTCACGGAACGGAAGAACTATGGTACAAGTCACATGATGATAAGATAAGGATCATTTGGGATCAATATGATCCAACACGACTTGGGGGCTAAACGATCATTCTGAATCAGAATGACCCAAGACGACCCAAGGGAGAAGGGACATGTTCAGGATCAGGACTTGTATATAAGGATGGACTTGAGCTGGACTCTAGGACAGACTTTCCATAGCTCTTCAGCAATTAACTTCGTATCAGGATTAACATCCGCTTTCAGCTACTACCTTGACAAGACTACGATTGATCACCGAAGCCTTACCTACCCTTACGATTGACAGACATAGCTTCCCTGAAGCTATCCCCGACTACGATTACTGTTACCAGTTCCGCAGCCTCAACTTCTGCAAACTACCCCTACGACTAGCTGGCCGTAACACTTTTATTATCTCCTAGTAGGCCGATTAGGCTATAGAGACTTCGAATAATATTATTAACGCTTTAACTAAGTTATATAGAAGTACTACTTACCTACTCCTATAGGGAGGTAAAGGAGATAACGTGCATGATAAGCGAGCGGATCGGACAAGCGAGCGGATCGCTCAACAGCGACCGCCACATCTTTTTCTTTCCAACACATATCCATCCACCACAATAATACAGTCATCAAACAAAGAAGCTGATATAATTCTAGCAGTTCAAGCTATCGAAAAAACACCAAATTTGAGTATTAAAGATGTAGATCGGATCTACTCAGTGCCATTTTCAACCTTACGCGCCCGTATTAATGGAAGAACTTCGCGACTTGAAACCGTACTAAACTCACGGAATTTGACGTTGCTCGAAGAGGATACGCTAGTTGAGTATATTCTCGACCTGGATTCCCGATTATTCTCTCCTCGGATCAGTGGTGTAGAAGAAATGGCTAATCGACTACTCGCCGACCGCGGCGCGCCCCCAGTTGGGAAGTGCTGGGCTTCGAAATTCGTCAAGCGACAACCACAGCTCCGGACGCGCTTTTTTCGCAAGTATGACTATAAGAGGGCCCAATGCGAAGATCCAGACGCGATAAACGCGTGGTTTCGCCTTGTGGCGAACACAATCGTGAAGTACGGCATCGTGGACTCCGATATCTACAACTTTGATGAGACTGGGTTTATGATGGGCCAGATTGCATCCGGAATGGTTGTCACGAGTGCTGAAAGGCGTTCAAACACGAAAATGACGCAGCCTAGCAATCGTGAATGGGTTACAGTCATTCAAGCCATCAGTTCGTTAGGCTATAGCGTTCCGCCGTACATCATCGTCATAGGCCAATATCACCTCTCCACCTGGTACACAGAAACAGGTCTCCCACGCGACTGGGTCATTGCAACGTCTGAAAACGGATAAAAAACAAATAAAAGAGGCCTAGACTGGCTCTAGTACTTTGATCGGCATACAAAACCGCGTATAACTGGTAGATATCGCCTCCTCGTCGTTAATAGGCATGAAAGTCACCACTCTGCGGACTTTAAGATATATTACAAGGAAAACAATATCATCATACTCTACATGCCGGCCCATTCGTCTCATCTACTTCAGCCGTTAGACTTTGGGTGTTTTGGGCCACTAAAGACGGCTTATGGTCGACAAATTGAGGATAAGATGCGCCGGGGTAATACGCATATTACGGAGGACTTCTTCCCTGCATTTCGCAACGCTTTCACGCAAGCCCTAACGGTAAAAAACATCCAGGGAGGTTTCAGAGGGGCTGGGCTTGTTCCGTTAAGTGCTGAAAGTGTGCTTTCGAAGCTGGATGTGAAGTTACACACTCCAATGCCCCCAGGGTCTCTTCCAGCAACACCCCCCGCGTGGACTTCTCAGACACCAAACAACCCAACAGAGGCAAATTCTCAGTCAACTTTGATTAAAGATCGAATCTTAAATCATCTAAATAGCCCGCCAACACCAGCTAATAACGCAGTTAACCATATCCTCAAAGGGACACTAGCTATAATGCATCGTAATACTCTTCTAGAGGCTGAGAATAAAACCCTTTGGGAGGAGAATAATCTACTTAGCCGACGGCGGAGATCTAAGAAACCTCGTCTCAGGTAAGGAGGGAGCCTTACTATAGCTAAGGCAGATGACCTTCAATCACAGAGAGAGGCTACAGCTCAGATTGAGGAGGAAACGCGCCGGAGTAGTGGCCGTCGGCCGAGGACGGAAACAGGTCAACGGCGATGTGGCGTCTGCGGGAACACTGGACATAATGCGCGCACATGTCCATTTCAGAGAGAAATGTCTAGAGAAGAGGATTATGGGTAGTTTCAATTAATTAAACTTTGTTGATGTTGATCAAGATTTACATACGTGGAGTGGTTGCTGTCGAGCGATCCGCTCGCTTGTCCGATCCGCTCGCTTATCATGCACGTTAGACTATTTAGTTTATTATTAAAACACCTTTATAAAGGGGTATTAGTGGCCTACCCTCTACCCTTCTAGCCTATTAGAGCCTATAGGACCTATAAGATCTCTAGAGCGGTATTATAAAGGGTTAATTATTAATCCTATAGGATTCTAGGTCTTCCTCTATATAACGAATTTCTTTTAGAAGATCTGTCCGTAATATTAAGGACTAGGTTTTAACCTAGGCCTTATAGACGAACCTACCCTCTTAGAGGGGTAAATAATAATAACGGAATTAGGGAACTAGCGGGAACTAGGAACGGATAGAACACATAGTAGCCCATAGGCAAGACTTGCAGGACGATAGGACGAGGCGTGTACTCTAGAGTATATAGCTTGAGCCTGCGGCCCTCCACGCCATATACCCCTCGGGAGGTCGGCCGCAAGGGCGGCAGCGCCTTTGCCGCCACGGCGTTAAATACAACAACAACAACATAGCAATTACCGGTGCAATATAGGTGGGTAGATGACGCAGACGGCAGAATTGAGGGAGACGAAGTTTTTCGTCGTCTCTTTGGCGGTTTGAACTCGGCTTCCTGTATCAAAACTCTATTCCACAACAGCATCCTCAACTCTCACCGGCGCAATAGCTTTCGACAAGCCAGCGTCATGTTGAGGCTGCAGGCGCGACTGGACCTGATTCGCAAATTCACCCTCCAACTGAATAATCATTCCCTCGATATCATAATCCCAGATCTTGTGCGATCTTTCAGTGAGGTCTTTGAGACACTTGTCCCAGTCACACATAGTGTCTGGGTGGTTCCATTCGTAAATCTCGCAGGCATCGCGGCTGCTCTTCACCATCCACTTCCCGCGAGGCGGGCGAACAATATCATAAGCCCGGAACATAGCTTCTAGAAGGCTACTTTTGTCGCCTTGCCTAGGACTTGGTAGACCTTGCAGTATTTTCGTGCCCTTGTGGAGGAGAGTAGCCAGAGCGAGCGCATCTTCAACACCCATACCCGCGCCGGCTCCGTGATGAGGAGTGGAGGCGTGAGCAGCATCCCCCGCAAGACAAAGCCTCCCTTTGACGAACGTTGGAGCTGGATAGTCGTAAGTATCGAAGATGGCCCATTTGGTAACCTCATCTGGCAGCAAGTTGATGAGATTCTTGACTGTCGGGCCCCAGTCCTGGAACACTGCAGCAACCTCCTCCCTCGTGGTGAGACTGGTCATGTTGGCGACTCCCTCGCCCACACTGTCCCAATCTGTGGTGTCATCTGCGACTGCCACGAAGTTGAGGATAGTACCAGCTGCCAACGGGAAATGCAGGACATGAGCTCGCGGCCCAGTGTGACAATGCTCGTTGAAAGCTTTGAAACTTCCAATGGCGGCTACTGCACGATCCATGGGTATCAAGGCCCTGTAGGCAACTTTGTGGCTGGAATGAGGGTATGTGGCGGGACTGTCTGGTCCAAGAACTAACTGTCGGACTTTGGACTTGATGCCGTCGCACCCAATAACTTGTAAGCATCAGCAAGGACACTAGATATGTGAAACAGTATGTAAATCTGAATGAGAGTGACATCAGTAATTGGTAAGACTTACCTGCATCCGCGCTAGAAGTGGTGCCGTCCTGAAAGTGCAAGAGCACCTTCTCTCCCTTTTCTTGATCGGTCACATTCACCAGTTTCTTACGGAATTCGACCGCATCTTCTGGTATAAACTTGACCAGCTCTTCTAAGAGATGGGCGCGATGACATCCGATGAAACCCTCGTGTCCGGTGTCAAGATTGTACAGTGGCATATCATCTTCTTCAGGGTGGGTGTTGTCCCAGGTGTATCCATCATTAAATCGGAGGAACTCGTCTGGCTCGTTCTCATTCTCGCCGTTGTGCGTGGCAACAGCGCCGACGGCTTTCTCAATGGATGGGTTCAGTAGAGCCATGGCCTTTCTTGCATTGGAGGTGAAGCCAATTCCGGCACCAATCTCGCGGAAGGAGCGTGACTGTTCGTATATCTTGACAGGAATGTTCCGCTCGAGCAGGCCTAAGGCTGTGATAAGGCCTACTATACCACCGCCGACGATAGCAATCTCGAACTTATCGTTGGCATTCGGCATCATTTTTGAAGGATTGGTCAATTTAGTCAGATTGATGATATTTCTCACTAGGAAAATGTGACAGTAAGGAACACCACCGAAATATAATCTCCTTTTTAAGAGTGGATTTTGCAGTTGATGGCGCTTACTCATTTGAGTGCACATGTGATATAAACCTTTGACTGATGTTAGGTGCACAGCCTGAAACACCGGAGTTCGCGGTCTTCCTGTCCGGCGGATGATGAATTCATCCAAACATTGAGGGCTTCTCCGACGGACTTCGGCGTTTGTACCGTCTTCGGCCCATGACCATCGTCATAACACTTTTGACCGGAAGGGATGGAGATAGAACCGGAGTCCATGAAGATTTTCCCCTCAATAATGCGAGTATGCCATGTACAACTCTCAAGGCATCTGATGCTGCCCGCATTAAACTAAGTTATCTACTCTAATGACTAGCAATTTGCCGCGTAGGAGGATTGCCTCCGAAGCCAAATGTATTCAAGTTGAAGTAAGGCAAGCGGCTAAAAGCGAATGTGACGTGAAAGACCAATGTTGACATCCACCATTTTTCATTTCATCCCAGCATTATTTGGTCTCCCATACTATGTTCTTCAATCAACAGATCCATGATGGAGTCAGGCGTCGCCAAGGCATCCTCATATCCAAATTGAGGCAGTTCTGGCTTTGAGATACCTTGGCAAAGTCCATTTACAGTCTTCAACTCTCCCAACGCTTCATCCATAGTCTTGATGTCATCTTCCAACGCCATACCACGTGATCGAAACCTGAGCAGGGCTTCTCGGCATAGATAAAGGGGCGCTGGTGTAAATGGGTGAATCTGACAAAGGTTGAAGTCGGAAAGTAAAATATTTGATAGGCGCGTGATCTCTCTAGCTGCGGCTAGAGCTCGTTCCTCACAGCCGACGACGAGATGATCGTACTCTGCAGTGGTATCCGGTGTTGTCGCGGCTACGTCAAACAGCGATAATGAAGCCACCTGAGAAATGATCTTAACAAGCAACGTCATAGAACCGGTTCGATGAGATACGGGGAGGCTCTGCAGACGGGAAATCTGACGCGCGAGAACTGTGTCCAGAAAGATTTGGCGCTCCCAAGATTGAGCAGACTCATGCCGAGCTTTTGATCGATTCTTATGAGCTTGTATTTGTCCCGAAAATGAGATGGATAGAATAAACTCCATGAAAGGAGATCGCGTTGCCAGTGTCTGTAACTCCATTGCTTCTGAGAGAAAGGGAGAGACAGTTGGTGCTCGACTTTGAAATGCGTCTTCAGAGCAGGGAAGCCGAGCATTGATCTAGAAACAGCTCATCATTAGTACAAACAACTTACTGCGCACTTGCAGTAAGATTTGAGCAGGACTAGGCTCATAAGAAGGACAAATGAGGAAAGGGGGCATACCTCAGATTTAGTGAACGTCCGAGGCAGATCATGAACCAAGCAAATGATAGTGTCCAAACATAATGCCATCCAGAAAGTCCTTCTCTTCTCCTCATTCTTAACAAACAAATCTGCATCTTCACTTAATCTTGAGGCTTTGTCGCAGCCTGCATCAATACTTCCTAGACGCATGAGCTGTACGAAGCGTATTGCTCGCCCTGTGCTCACCCATGCACGATGGAAACCAACTTGCATCAATTCATACATTGATATGAGAATCCACGCCTGAGCCTGTTTCAATAGACCCTCTTCTTTCTCCACTGGACTGTCAAGATAGTCCAGATTCCTGAGCCGTTCGAGTGCTTCGCGATACATGTTGTCGCGTAAGTGTTGGAACTGTGACGAAAGTGAAGACGCCATTGCCCACATTGCATACTGTAAACATGTATGTGAAAGCTTTATCCCGTCTGACGCAGAACGGTCGTTTGGCGGTGGCCTTTTCTCGAGTTCCTTCGACTTGCGAACGTACGACGATTGGTGTAAGAAAGGTGTGAATGAGTGAACTCGGTCGAAGTAGAGTTGATCGCTACATCTAATGTTCAGCGACAAGATACCTTACTTACCAGGATAACGGGTCGGCAAGTTTCCAGGGACAGGTACTCACAGATCAGCCCTCATCAACGGCTCTATTCCTCGAAAGGCCGAGTCTGAAGGCCCCTGAATCATGGTAGTCGGGATTGCGTCCGAAAATTGGAAGGTATCCTCAGCGATGAGAGACAGTGGGGTGAAGTCTACTGGTGCGGGTGTCTGGATCGGGATATCTGAATGACCGTGGTTGGTCAAGTCCACATCAGGGAGAGACGTGAAGAAGTCCGTAGCACCTGACAAAGTCCCTTGGGGACTACCAACACCAGATTCATCAGGGTCTGCGCTTGAAGAAGACTCGTAATCTCTTCTTGGGCCTTTCTTCCCTTCGATAGGACCCTTTCCCCCACTTTTCGCAAGGCGCCGTTCGAGAGTTGCTACATAGACTCATCCTGTCAGTACTTATGTTTAATCGAAACGTTGGAATGCGTCACTCCAATACATCGAGCCCTTTGAATACTGCAGAAAAGAAGTTGTTGACTGACCGATTCTTGATTGTAGCACTTTGAGACGATCTCTCTTGGATATCTGAGGTGGGGCAGACGGGGCACTTCGACAACGTACACCTGCACGAACACACCCGCCGCAAGGCTGCTTTTGGTCACACCTAAGCTTGCATTTTTGACACTGCCGGCAGCTCAGATCAGGCCTGCGGCGGATATCGCGGCTCGTTGCCGGGCTACTGGGCGTTTCGGTATCGCCCGTTGTCGATGCTGCCGCGGAACGGGGCGGCGTTGGGCCATTCGGTCCAATTTTTGGGTGCGACTGGCATAAGACGCCACGTTCGAAGCAAGGGAGACAGAAGTTGTTCCCGTCCATTGATGTTGTGGAAGGCGTTGTTTGAAGAGGTATTGTGCTCAATGTAGCGTCAAGTCTTGAGAATGAATTGGTCAAAGTCGCGCCAACCAGACTGTTGAATGCATGTCAATCATGATGTTCCCTTCGAGCCACCAAGAAGTGGTTATGTATGCCGCATAGCTGCCGGCTTCCTCATCGTTTGCCACTTTAGCGGCGTGATCTAAGGTGAGATAAGCAATAACGCTCTTCACTTAACATGGGTAGAGTGTGACAGGACGATCCAGGTCTTTGATGAAAAACACCTAAAATCTACCAAACCGCGCCATTGCGAATGTTGTGGTGATGCTGAGGAAAAGGAAACCAGCCCCTGAAAGTTCTCATCACCGACGCTAGTCACCTGGTAAAGAGCAAACTTTGCTGTTTGTTTGCTACCAAGGGTGTTTGCCCCTTTCCTCGGGATACTGATCCGTCGTGCCGCCCGCTTCAGATTCCTTTTCCAGACCCCGCTTTTGCTTTTCTTTTGGCCGTTGTGTTTGCTTGTTTGCTCCCTCGTCTGCTAGTTTGCCTGTTGGTGCCTGACAGTTCATATATGAGAGATTTTGCACAATTACCGGGATGCTGGGGTTGTTCTCCCATCAATCATCTTGTTCACCGGACTCGGCCATGCGATTCTTCGGGTCGGTAGGGATCGAGCTCCGGGTTTGGGGGATGGCAAATCTGACACCCGTCTACGCGGTATTTGATGAGATGTAAGTAGTGTGGATTGAGATCTCACAAACGATGATGATTTCGTCCCTGGTTTGAGTTCTAAAGAGCCGCAAAGTGGGCTCTTGATTCTTTGGTATCGAAAATACAGGTCAAACTCGAATCTTACAAGTGCACGCCGGCTACCCTCACTTTACTCGCTGGACATTGCAAGCGCCTCATCAATCGTCTTCCAGGTGTGATCTTTGACCTTTTGCAGATCCTCCTCAGTGAAAATAGCCTTGTTTTTAACCACCTTACCGTTCTGATCGATACAGCTCCAGGATGCACCGTCCTTCTCCGAGGTCTCGTTCACTCCCTTCAGAAGTCCCTCGGCGCAAGTATCAGCCGGTACACCCATCACATTCGTCAGGAGTTTTGTCCCAACCCGGAGATACCACGGCATGGTGTGGAAAATGTTGGTCTGCACGAGGCCCGGGTATGCGTGGATGAAGTGCTGCTTCTTGGCCTTGTTCTCAGCCGCATACGCCTGAATCATGGCGTCCGTCATGGACAGGCAATGGTTCGCTGCGTTTTGCAGGCTAAAGTTCTTCTTCAGGTCCAAGTCGTCCCAAATCAGCTTTGTCGGGCTTCCGCGGATGCTGTCGAGGACGATGAGGACTTTGGCGTCGTTCTTTAGAATGGGGCTCAGTTCGCGGATGAGAAGCTGCCTGCCGTAGTAGTGGAGGGCCATCTTGCGGTCGATTCCCTCAGACGTTTCGGTCCGGCCTGCCATGGTAAGGATGCCCTGCGTGAGGACGAGTAGGTCGAGTTGCGGGTCTTGGAGTGATTTGTAGTCATCTGTGTATCTCTTGATGGAGCGCATGGAAGATGCATCCAAGGCGCGGAACTTGATGTTGGGATGGGGGATGTCCTTGGGCTCGGTGCGGCCGCTGATGGTCACTTGCGAGGATGCCGAGGCAGCGGCCAGGCGGCAGGCAATGGCGTAGCCAATGCCACCCGTTCCTCCCACGACTAATGATCGTGTAGCCATGGTTTTCTGTGATGCGAGAGTGGACAAGAGGTTGATTTTTTGAGTCGGATGATGTCGTTGAGGAATTCAAGCTCCTTATCAAAAGCTGAGCTTGGCTCGGTCAGGTGTTAGGCCGATTCCGAAAACAATTCAAGCTCCCCTAAGTCCGCAACCTATGCGCTGTCTGATTGGCTCAATTGAAATGGCATCTTTGAGTTCATGCAAAAGAAGCTTTCTAACTCCGCAAAATCCGCCTACAGCTTCTGATATGCAGCTATCCATAGCTATGACCTAACGTGAGGTAGCTTCGAAGCTCTTGGCTGTAAACATGTGATGTTGAAGGTCATAGATGGGTCCTCAAGGTCACTCCGACAGTCCGGTTATTGTCCTTCCTTGCGGGCCACCCCATTGCTTACACCCCCCAGATGTCGTCCTCGCTTGTTACCTCTTTCAGAATCATGTAGGTAAGCTGCACTCAAGTTGATATGGGCTCATTCATGAGAGGTAATGACGACAGAAAGGAAGGCAGAGGGGATGGAAAGGGACGGGAAGAGACACTTCGGACCCGGGCTCCGCAGCCTCCGCAGTCCCTTGTCTCGGAATATACTACATCCATTCCCGGGATGTTCTAATTATAGCTGATCTAGTCCACGTCGCACGTGACCTCGGAGCCAGCCTTACGTAAGTAAGGACCAAGCATGAGCCGAAGTGCCGGACTAGGGATCTTCCCTTCGACCAAGTTGGCCACCTTACTGCATCAGTGTAAAGCAGGACCCCAAGAGCTCCGACTCCCCTGCTCGCGGCTCTGCGGCAGCGTTAACTCTGGGCGAGCGGGGCCGCTGACGCGTTACTGGCCCTTTGGCGGTTCAGCGTCAGCCAAAGAGAGACATCGCGGGACGCATGGGCTGCCGATGTTCCAGGCGAGAGAAGCCTCTGCCTGGGAAGCCCAGGGAAGCCTGGCCTGGCAGGGCGAATTTTCCAAAGTGGTTGAGTTTGAAAGGGGGTGAAATCTGGAGCCAGGGCCACAATTCCCCCTTCTCTTTCTTGCCCCTGGGCCCTGGCCGTATATTCCGTCGTCCGTCTTACTCTTGTTCCGCCCAGGGCTGAAGTTTCGATCTCCTGCAAATCTGTTCTTTCTTTTCACTTCCTCTCCTTGTGGCCCGAGTCTCGACCTACGTGCGGCGGTTGTCATTGTCACACGTCACACGTCATACACACCACCACACCAACCACACACCACACAAAGGTGAAGGACTGGACAAAAGAGGTATTCACTGGTTGGTCGTCTGGGATGTCACTCTCGGCCCTACCACGCTCCTTCAGCCCTTCGGACGGATCTGTGGGATCCAACGTGCTGGGTCACACCTAAACTGGGTCTCTTCTCCGAATCTTTTGCCCATCCCACCGCTTCTCATTCTATTCTCCTTGGCGAACTACGGAGGGGCCCCCTCTGGTTCATCAACTTCGGTTCCTCGATTTGTTCGATTTGTTCAAATTTGTCCCGCCCCAGCGCGTGGAGCTCTGGAGACGTTCTTCACGTTGGCGGTGCCGAGCTTCCATTCTTGTTCCTTCTACCCTACATAATCACGCCTTCCCCCCCTCGCGCTCCGCGAGGTCTTCTAGAAGGACGATGGGCATAATGGAGAAACTAGGGGTGACAGACCCCTTGGCAAAGCTTCCCCACAAGCCGCAGTCTTACAACGACAAGTATGTTGTCGCCTACGACTTCAGTGAAGTCGGTATGTCAAATTCTCACTCTTTTTCCATTCATGATCGGGAATTGTCGTTGGAATGGGGCTGGCCGACTGACTGTGCCCCAGATTCTGAGACCTCCGTCAAGGAGCTCACCACCCTCCTTAATGAACTCGAGTCTGCTGGTCTCCAGACGGAAGTAAGGGCCGGCTACGATCAGACCCTTCTTATCTTTGTCAAGGCTCCTCGAGAGCTTCTTGGAAACACCGTCTATAAGTCGAGGTCAGTTGGACCAACCATCATTACAGTCGGCTCAAAGCCTAGGCTGACATCCCCGTAGAGTGAAGGACTGGCTCTATGGCATCATCCCCGAACACCCCGGCGGCACAAAGACCACCGTTGTCGATGGTTCTTTTGAGGCCGAGGACATCCTCTCAGTTTACCATCTCGTCAACTGGCCCAAGTCTCTTGGTGGCGCTGGAATCACCCCCGAGACGGGCAAGTGGACGAATGTCAAGGCCATCTTCCCCCTTCACAACGAGGAGACGAATCAATCCCTCATGAAGCATCTCAGCAAACGACTATTCCTGACGCCGGACGACATTGATTCCATCCGCGACCTCTGGGGAACCAAGGTGAGCTCCGCCATCCTGCCCTCCCCCCGCCATGCCGTCTAATAATATCTGCTTAGGTCGCATTCTACTTCGCCTTCATCCAGACCTACCTTCTCTTCCTCACCTTCCCCGCAATCACCGGCGTCATTGCATGGATGTACTTTTCAAAGTACTCCCTCACCTACGCCATCGCGACCTGCGTCTGGTGCACCATCTTCCTAGAGTACTGGAAGATCCAGGAAGTCGACCTCAGCATCCGGTGGAATGTGCAAGGAATCGGCAAGGTCAAGGTCAACAGGCCGCAGTTCAAGTACGACAAGATTATCAAGGACGAGGCCGGCCAGGAGAAGCATTACTTTCCCAAGTGGAAGCAGGTCTCCCGCCAGCTGCTCCAAATTCCCTTTGTCTTGATTTCGGCTCTGGCACTGGGTGCAATCATCATTGCCGTGTTTGCTATCGAGGTGCTCATTTCAGAAGGCTACGATGGTCCTTACAAGAGCATGATTGTAAGTCCTTTAGATGATCCTTCGGTGCTTCAGATGAATTGCTTACCATGGGCAGGAATACGTTCCGACCTGTTTGCTTGCCGTTGCTCTGCCATACATCAGCAGCGGCCTTGAAGAAGTCGCCACGATGCTCACGAACTACGAAAACCACCGAACGGCCGATTACCACGAAATGTCCCTCACGCAGAAGATCTTCGTTCTCAACATCATCACAAACTACCTTCCGATTCTCATCACAGCCTTCATCTACGTCCCCTTTGGCGACACGTTTGTCCCCTGGCTCGAGGGTATGACAAAGGGCTTCCTCGGTGCCATTGGCCAAAAGTACATGGACGACGACCTCAGCTTCCACGTCGACTCGGATCGACTTCGTGACGAGGTCATCGCACTCGTCGTTACCGGCCAGATTTCCGGATTCTTCGACGAGAACATTATGCCCGTTCTCAAGCACAAGGCGCAAGGCATCTACCGCGAGTACAAGCGGTCGCACTCCAAGGACACGATGCTCATGTCCATCGTCAAGGACGCCCCCGAGGAAGCTAGGTTCCTCCGCAGCGCACGAAACCAGGCCACCTTGGAAAAGTACAATGTTCAGGACGACATCGCCGAGATCGTCCTCCAGTTCGGTTACCTCGCCCTCTTCTCTCCCGTCTGGCCCCTCATCCCAATCGGCTTCCTCATCAATAACATCGTCGAGCTACGCACCGACTTCCTCAAGATCTGCATGGAACATCGGCGCCCGCCCCCCGTACGCACCGACGGCATCGGCCCGTGGATCAACTCCCTCGACTTCCTCACCTGGGCTGGCAGTCTCTCGACCGGCGCCATCGTGCACCTCTTCGGCGCAAACAGCATCGGTGGCGGAGCGTGGTGGGCACTACCCATCACCATCTTCATCAGCGAGCACGTCTTCCTCGGCTTGCGGTCGGTCGTTCGATTCTGTCTGGAGAGCATCGGGTCGGAACAGATTCGTAAGCAGCGACACCAGCGATATGCGACGCGCGTGAAGCACCTCGAGGAGATGGAGGCCAACAAGCAGGCTGGGCTGATGCTGTCTGTCGCTGAGCGCGAGAGGCGTAAGTCGATTCGGGCGATGGGACAGGAGTCGTTCTGGACGACGCAGATTGATGATGGTGCGAGTGCCGCGGTGGGAATTGGTCTGATTCAGTCGGTCAAGAGGGCCGAAGTGTTGAAGAACGGGCAGCCGAAGATTGACTAGTAGGTTACCTGTTTTGTTTCGCGGGTCAGATCATCAACAGAAAACCGGCGTTTTGTTTCATTAGAGGGGTAAAAGTTAGAGCATGAACACCATGCCAATAGATTGCGATACATCATCCCTCCGTCCCCCTACTCCTCGAGTCGCGACTGAAGCTAGGTGACTGGAGCTAAGTGGAGATTGGATGAAGTGATATAGTGACATGTCTTTGACATCACATCACAGCACTGACATCATCGGATCGCACTCACGCCATCACCGCAGCCTCAACCTCACCTTCGAGCCGCGATCGCAAGACTAACAAGCAGGTCCTTTCGCAAGCATATCGATCAATCTCTGAAGTTAATATCATCGAGACCCAAGACAGATCACTACTCGCCCAAAATGTCCAAAATCACATCTCCCTTCAACAACCCGATCTCCTTCGCCTCATGCTCAATCGGCCTCCCCCGACACACCCTCGAAGACAAGCTGGCAGCAATATCCGCCGCCGGCTTCAACGGCATCGAACTCTCCTTCCCGAACCTCCAGTCCTTCGCCACGCGACACCTCAACAATGGCGACATCGCAGCCGACGACTACCCCTCCCTCTGCGAAGCCGGCACACTCATCCGCGATTTATGTGCGCAGCTCAACCTCCAAATCATGGTCCTACAGCCCTTTGAAAACTTTGAAGGGTGGCCGAAGGATAGTAAGCAGCGAGAAGAGGCATTTGAGCGCGCGAGGGGGTGGATGGAGATCATGAGCGCCGTGGGGACGGACATGCTACAGGTCGGATCGTCGGATTCGCCAGAAATCACGTCGTCTATTGGAGATCTTGTTGCCGACCTTGCAGAACTGGCGGATCTTCTTGCGACGAGGGGCTTCAGGATCGCGTATGAAAATTGGTGCTGGGCTACGCATGCGCCTTCGTGGAAGGATGTGTGGAAAGTTGTGCAGCTTGCTAATCGGCCTAATTTGGGACTTTGTTTGGATACTTTCCAGTCGGCAGGCGGAGAATGGGGAGACCCGACGACTGAATCTGGGCGCATTGAGACGGGTGGCGTTGGTGAGAGAGAGCTCACGGTGTCGTATGAGATCTCGTTGCAGGAATTAGCGAAGACGGTTCCACCGGAGAAGATCTACTTTCTACAGATCAGTGATGCGTACAGGGTCTCCCCGCCTTTGAGCAAAGAGCCTGATCAGAGTGGGTTGAGACCTAGGGGGCGTTGGAGCCATGATCATAGACCGCTACCGTTTGATGGCGGGTATCTGCCCATCTTGCAGTTCTTGGAGGCTGTCATGAGCACAGGCTTTAGGGGATGGTTGTCTGTCGAAGTATTTGACGGGAAGTTTGAGGAGAAGTATGGTGATGATCTGCCTCAATACGCTAGGAAAGGGAGGGACGGTGTTGTGAAGATGCTGGGAGAGATGATTGTCGATCGGAGTGGCTTCTAACTTTTAAGGACGGAGTGATAATAATACAGCAATACACGAGTGAAAACGCTCAATCAGCTCAACGCTTCAAGTCAAGACCTACGCCGTCTCATTTTCCCTCTCCTCGAGCTTCTTCTCGAGTTCGTCAAATCTCATAGGCGTCTCACTCTCCGTCCACGGCATCACCTTCAAATCCTTCCAAATTCCCATCCACCTCTTCGCCTTGGTCTCATACGCCTCTTGAACCCCAACCATTGGATTCGGCCTCACAATCATGGCAAAATGCTCAGACAACCCCCTCGGCGCATAAACCCTCCACGCCCCGTCCCCCTCAACCCGCACCCCAATCATCGCGCTCGTCGTGATCCACGTATCGATCCCGGCCTCGGTCGACTCGTGCGCCGGACAAGGCGCCCCGAACTTCTCCTCATACCACAGGTGCACCCGCGCTTGGTTCCGGATCTCCACCTTTTCGCCAGGGATACCCGCGAACAACTCGCGCCCGCGACGGATCACAGCATCTTCGGCCTCGTAGGAGAGGTCCGAGTCGTCGTGGTAGACGAGGTCGTAATCTGAGATGCCTGTTGTGGGCGGGAGCGAGGAAGTGTAATTCCAGATTGTTTGGGAGACGGCGCCGCCTGCGAGGTACCAGCTTGGGAGGTTGAGGGTTGTGGCGAGGGAGAGGACTTTGAGGAGGGTTTTGTTCGTTTCGAGGACTTGGCGGACGAGGGTGAGTTGTTCGCCCAGCGGGAGTCTGGCTAGATTTACTGCAGGCATTTTTTATCTTGGTTATATGTCGGTGCGTTGGATCATGTGTTTATGAGTAAGGTTTTGGTGGTGTTTTTCACTTTCTTGACGCGTTATGAGTGAGTCAAGGGAATTGCAAGCGCGTTCATGTTGGCATCGAAGGATAAGAGTCAATCACATCACAGCAGGGATTAGCACGCCGTAGTGCGGCTTACCTAAGGTGAGTCGCGATTCTGCAGACTTTCTTATTCCAAAACCTTACGCGACATGTTGAAACTTCAACTTTGAATGACTGAGGGGATATCCATCATTCACATGGCATCCATCTGACTCCCGCATCATTGGAATCTACCACAGGAACCTTTGGCTCACTTCGAGGCCAAGCGCTGTGCTAGCATGTGCATACACATGAACATTCGTCATATCTGTCAATTGAGTTGTGAAGACCAAGATCGGTGCTCCTCTAATTGCCACAAGCTACGATTGGCAAACCACGGAATGTCAATCTCTCCATAGGTATCCTCGCTTCTTGATGCGAAAGTGCTTGACCAAATCTCACGTGTCTGTATTCTGTCTGGAGTTGACAAGTGAAGCCTCTGAGCTTTTCAGAGGAGCGCGAATCGGGAGCGTGCCGACCCCGCCATTACCCCGCGATCGCGAAGGGCATCACGTCTCCAATCGCGCATTGAAAAGTCCCTTCAGCCATGGAAATCGGAATCGGCAGGCCCGTAGCTACCAACGACGGGGTAGAATTAACTCACTCCTGCTTCGCGATGTTGCAAGACCCTGTGTTAAGGCTGGCTTGGGGATGGGTGTGGTTAGCCTCAAATCTCATTTCACATTCATCTCATCTAGCGAGTCTGCCTGTAATCGTTGCTGCGGTGAAGCGGTGGCGTTCAGAGTATGGTTCCCCCTTCACTCACTTCAGCTTCCTCGCTCGATCAACCTCATAAGGACTATTCAAAGTGACCAATCGAGGTTTGATTGCTATTCAAAAGCGATGTCATGCTTTTACTAGGATGCCTTACAAGTGAAGAGCTGCTTTTTGATCTCGACCTTCATATACCTAGCCCCTGCCAGAGAGCATCTATGAATGTGCAGCCTTCCCCCGGTCCATCGCGCGTGGAAATCATTACTAGTAGAGAACAATTAGTCTTGGTGAGTCTGGCTAATTTGACTGTATGCCAGTGCAAGAGACCTTCGACTGTGACCAATGGGCCTACGCCCGCTACGATACCGCCGTCAGCAATCGACTCACATCACCTGCCCGGTCCAACCAACCAACCATCTACAGCCCAGAAGATCGAACACTTCACTACAAGATTAGTCGAGTATGACCGGGCTGGAGTCAATTGTCAGAGACACAAGCGCTGGCAGATACTAGCAGGCTCAGCTGGGACTGGCACACCGTACACAGTCAAAATAGCCGAACTTGTTCCATGTATCATTGCCGAGGTACTCAAAAAGGGTATTATGATTCTACTAATGTTTTTCGGCCGTCACGTCGGAAACATCCAACTAATGAGTCCTTCTGCTCATCAATGATAAGGAAGCTCTGCGGCACCACCCTCTCGTTGTCGTGCGACGCCTCCCTTGTTGACCTCCCCCCATATGTCAACTCTTCCTCACTGCCAGTCTCGCTAACGCTCTTGATTTGTGACAAGGCACCGGCATAACCTTTGCTTGCTCTCGCCGAGAAGCCCATACTCGACCTCTTTCCCGAAGTCGCCTCGCTCTGCCTCTTTTGACACTTGAAAGTGCCGCAGCATTTACAGGGGAAGTATGACATGTTGTAGACATCCTCGTGGCCCGACTGCGGAGGACCGCTGCTGGACTTCGCAAATGTTGTGGTAGCGAAGGCTGACGGCCGACGAGCTGCGTCGTCGGTGACACGATGCGAGTATGGGTCTGAGGACATTCCTAGCTTGAAGCCGATGGCTTTGAGAAGCGGGCGAAGCGTCGCGAGGCTACCGGCGGTATTGGCAAGGCCTTGTTCTACGGATGACCAGATGGCGATGTCAAGGGTGGACCCTGGATTATAGTCAGTTTATTGTTCCTGTAAAGAGATGGCTTGGGATGATTGACTCACATAGGAAGTCGGCATCTTTGAGGCCCATGAGGTATCCGAAGCGAACCAAGACAGCTGAGCTAGCACTGGTGGAATGGTCAGGTTCGTTCATTCTGCCAATGGGATATTTTTGTACTCACACGCAACCCATGATTAACAATGGAATCAAAGCGAACTTCGTCTTCTTCCGCATTTGGAGATTCCAAACCAGAAAGGCTGGGAGAATGGCAAATGTCAAATCGGATATGACACTGAAGGCACTGTACAAGTATGCCAAGGCAATGACAATGTTGACATCGATGCAGCTTCCCGGCTGGCTCTTGTTCCAGAAGAACGAGATCCGATGGCACTGGAACAGCGTCACGAAGAAGAAGACGATTCCAGCCAGGACTGTGAACATCATGGCCATGTAGACGATCCAGCTGTGGAGTCTTCGGGTCGTGATTCGCAAGAGGAAGAATCCGATGGACATCTTTGAGACGATCATGCTTAGGGAGTAGAAGAGGTAGCAGAACCACCAGCACTATGAGATCGTGTCAGTACCCTTGTTACCAGTCGAAAACGTATCGTCTTGGATTGGTTGCTGACCTCGAGTGCTTTAGTGATATGGTCATCTTCTATGTCCGCGAAGTGCCTGCCGGTGCCATAGTGGACGCCGAGTATCGAGAAGGTCGAGTAGCATATGAAGCAGGCCTTTAATGGAGTTAGTCAAGTTTTCTCACAGAAGCATCATGCAAGCCGAGTAATGCATACCAAAGCCAGGACCATGAGCCAGTCATCCGTTCCAAAAGCCTTGACCAAGCCAGCCCGGATGTAGCATCGCAACGCAGTGGCCAACACCGCCGCCGAGACGAAAAAGATGTTGACGCCTAGGAGCTCAGGGCCGCGGTTCTCAATCATGGGTGCCATGTTGACTCGTAGATCTCAAGTTTGAATATCAACCGGGGGTCCTTTCTTTGGAGCAGGCCCTCCCAGTTCCCACTTGAAGAGATGCAAGGTTTATGGGGATCGTGGGGAGAGGGGGGGGAGGCAGGTAAGGTCGTACGATTCTTTATAATTCCCCATCCCTAAACAAGTACGAAAATGAAAAGCCTGATACGGGCTGCAGAAAACACTAGACACCATCGTTGCCGTGCACCGGGTGCTAACGCCAGGGGCAGATGGGTCTCCTTGTGTCGCGTTTCCAACTTCAGAGTTCAATCCGAAGCCTTCAGTCGACGGTGTCGGGTCGTGCGTCCGGAGAGCTCGGTATGCGCCGCCCATCTCTTCCTGAAGAATCAAGAGAAGGAAAGTTTCTGCCCTGACCCCACCGGAGCTCTCCTAGGCTCTAGCTTCAAAGGACATTGAAGTTGGGGATCGTCTGCGATGAGGTAAGTCAACGTAGCCGAGCAGCCAGCTCCGAGCCTCTGTGAAGTTTTACCTCGAGGACGATGTCCAGATCCGGCGACGGACTCGGGATGGCGGCGGGAGGAATGCCTCATCCGCGTTAAGTCAAGCTCTAGAGCGTCTGTCACCAGTCCTTCTTTAGACACGGGCTCCGGTGAACGGACGAAGAGGCTGGCCAGTGGTATAACTGTGGCTTGATTTCTCGAAGGAGCGCTAGAACTGATCTATTACTGTGGAGGCAATACTACTGTATTGGATCTGATGATGATGATGGGAAAAGCTGAGCGCTGGCTGGGCTGGATATCTGGGCAAGGTGTAGGTGGGGCAGCTCCGAGATGTGAAGGAGCTGCCTCACGTGACCCACCTGCACCTGCCACAATTACCGTTCTGACACGCCACGTCCGAAATGGTGGCTGTGCCCAGGCATCTCGCGTGCGTCTAGCTTGGTGTTTAGCGGCTTTCTTTCATGGCTTGTTGTTTCGCTGCTGTAGGTCGTTCCAGTGGCTGAGGACAATCCTTGAAACAAACTCAGTAGTTCTCTGGATTCACGAGACACGAGTAATTTCATTAGGTCAGCGGCAGCAAACCTGACTTTGTTGTCGGGATCCCTCCGATCTAACCCCCTTTAGCGAGGGTGATCGGCCCGGGGATGTGTGCCGGGCCATGGTCCGGAATTCCGCTATACGACCCAGTCATGGGCACCCAAGCCCTTCCTTGAACATATGGATCAATCACCCAGTCCTCTCAAGATGCCAAGAGACAACATCTGCCCAAAGGCAGCCCCTGTCACTTGTCAGATTGAGAGTTCGGTAGCTACAACTCTAAAATCACTCACGAGGCACTACCGCGAGACATAAAACAGTGTGGCTATGATCAAGAATGCGACGGCTTTAATTAATAGCCCAGGGGAACCGAGACACCCTTCACGTCTTGTTCTAGGGCGCCACAAGCCCGAACTTCTCCAACGTTTCAACGCCAGCCCCCTCTTTCACGTTGGCAGCTACGTCCTATTTCAGGACGTTGTGAGCATGTTTCCCCAGCGATTCTGCTTTCCTGTTCCGGCCTATGATTCGATATGTAAGACATCTACCTCAGACTCTTTACTGTTGTTCTTGTGGAAACCATAGGCTTGAAGGATCAGGTCAAAGGGCTCAATGGTCAATGGTATGCTCGCTAGACCGTCTTGGCTTCTGGCCGATCCGTCGCTGCGCGCCTGCGGCATCCTCCCGACGTGGGTTCATCGGCAGATTCTTTGCCATGTGCACAAGCCAGGAAACAAAACATCCAGACGGCCCTTGAGTGAGACCTGTGGACCCATGAATCCCTGTTACCAAGACCCAGGCCCACCAGGTACTCGGATGACGGACGGATGACGGGTCTGGCGATAGTTTGCTTGCAGTATGGGTCTGGAAGGAGACCGGAAATGATCCCTTATGTAACAGACCTTAGATCGGATCCTTATGCACGGTTGATAGGACAATAAAAGCTTTATTCGCAGCAAGTCACGGTTCTCATCCTGTCACCGTTGAGTCGGGGAGAGCAGGGACGTTGGTGTGTATCCCGTCGGCGCCCAGATAATGTGGAGGAAGGCCTCGCGAAGTGTACACCTGCATGCAGCGGGAACAGCTGTTTCTTGGCAGGCTAGCATGCTCTAAGACTCTAGCATTACCAAGAAGCACATAGTGGAGTGAAACATTAGGATAGACGTCGATAGACTTTGAAAACTATCCTGGCCATATACTAGTATGGTAGGGCTGTCACTACGAGCCTTGTGACTCCTCGAAGTACGGCCTCTCCGCTTGCGGCGTGATCCGCAACATATGCCGCCTAGTTGTCCCCTCTTCTACCCTGAAGTCTCGCAGCGCGGAGTGCAGAGTGTTCCTGTTGTCGTAGACCACGACTGTTCCTGGCTTCCAGTGAACCCGCAGGTGCCAGTCCTGGCCTCTCTCGATATGGTCGAACAAGAATCCTAGCAGGGCGACACTCTCTTCCTGCTTCATCCCGACAATACGTTTTGTGTACAGTCGGTTGACGTAGAGGGAAAGCTGCTTTGTGACGGGGTGAGTTCGAACGACTGGATGGATCGTTTCGATAGGCTCTCTGATGTACCGGTCGCGGTGGTCGTTCACCGAGGCTTGAGAGAAGCCGGAGTGAACAGCCTTCAAGCTGTGAAGCAACATCCGGTAGGTTTCTGAGAGAGAGTAGTAGGCAGCTGTAGTGGAGAGGTAAAGAGTATCACCTCCCGACGATGGAGTGCTCAAAGGCAAGAAAGTCGTTGTGCCCATTCCGTTGCTGTTTTGACGCTGTCAGGTTGCAGTCCGGTGGCATGTGACAATTGGCAGCGGACTTACATCTCGTAGCTCATATCACTGTGCCACTTCACGCTGGTGACGTTGTCTTTGATTTCGTTATCGATAGCACCGGCCCTAGGCTGTCTGTTAATCATTCATCTGTGTTTACGTCCTCGCGGTGAACTCACGCGAAGTCACGGTACACTGGTAGCAGTTCCGGGTGATCCTTGATCTGGCCACCCATATGATGGACATGCAGTGGACCGAAATGCTTTCCGTAGGCTTTCTGCTTCTCTGGTCCGATGTCTGCAATGTTCTGGTCTCGGAAGATCACCACGCCACGTTCGGCTGCAAGTAGTGCCAGTTCGTCCAGCTGGGCAGGGTCCAGCTGACTGAGTTGAATGCATGGACTTCGGTCTCGACCGCTGATATGACTTCTTCATGGCTGACTCCAATAGTTCCTAGAAGATTCTTCTTGGCCTGATCAGCCCTCGAATCGACGTCGTCATGTTGGAATTCTTCCAATGGAGGCTGGGTTCCGGGCACAAAATGCGGCATGTAGCTCTCATATTTGTACTGAAAGCAATCAGAATCTGTCAATTACGAATGATGGTTTGTACTTACGCTCTCCTTATCATAGTTGATAGAGGTTTCTGTCCGAAGTTGAAGCGTCTTGGACTCTTTTGTAACCTCTGTGCTCACTTCTGTAGCCATTTTGATGCAGGCTAGTGACAGTCTGCGATAACATCCGCGCACCCTGAATGACTTAATAACACCAAGTCCATCCAACTTAATGTAAACCTAAGCGGGTGCTTATTTCCGTGTTGGAGGGTAGATGTGCTAGCACGTGATCTTGTACTCCTCGTTGCGACATCATCCTTGGGGATTCGTCATGATATCTGTGACCTCGCATTGGTCAACTAGACCGTCTCATGTCGCGTCTTATCTTCAGCAGCACCGTTGCACATATTTACAACGATAAAGCCTCCCTTGGTATGTCAACGCATGAGATAGTGATCCCCTTTTCTTATTGCGAAATCCGGATGCCCTTGTTATTGCCGATGGAGAACCCGGCACTCATGCACTTACCGGCATGTATCATCCCTCTTGTGTGGCTTGCAGCGGGCAGTTTCCGAGATTCTTGCTGCACTGAAGACAGGAGCATGCCTCCCCAGAAGAGAATCATCACCGTGAGAAGCAATGGCGTGCTGCAGGTAGGAACGGGGTACGCTATTTGAATCGCGGGCGGCGAGGCCTGCAGACGTCTGTCATGCCTCGGTCACCTAAGCATTCTGTTCATTTATCATTTGGAAAGATGACCAGCGACAGCAGAAAGCAAGACTCCGTAGTGTCTACGGAGCCTGGGGTACAAGTTGCATCTCCCGAGTTTGGTAGGCGGAGGGTGCTCTCAAACATCTCACGAAAGATCTGGGGCGACGACCCGCGAGAGAGGAAATACGTTCGGAAGTTGGACACATTCCTCTTGTGAGTCAGCCTCTTGACCTCATTTAAATATGTCATGGTTGACTTCAAGAACAGCTCTTACGTACTTCTCGGATACTTCATCAAGTACCTCGACCAGAATAACTACAGCAATGCGTTCGTTAGCGGTATGCAAGAGCTACACCTTTACGGCAACGAGAGAAACCTCCTGACTGCATACTTCAACATTGGTATCATTTTGGGTACTATCCCAGCACAGATGATCCAGTTGAAGTATGTTCGCCCTTCTATTTGGATACCGGCGTGCGAACTTGGGTGGTCTGCATTGACAATGGTCATGGCGAGCGCCAAAAACGTGGAAACGGTGGATCGAGATGATCGTAACTAAGGTAGAACTCAAGGTTGCTAACGTAACTCGGTAGCTTCATGCACTGCGCTTCTCTATAGGACTCCTCGAGTCCTGTTCTTTTCACGGTTTTGCTAGCATCCTGGGTAGTTGGTACGGCAAAACACAACTTGCGAAATGCATGGCTCTGTTCGAGCAGACTGCTGCTATTGCTGGCATGTTCAGTGGGTACCTCCAAGCTGGCCTTTACACTGGCATGAATGGGACTGCGGGACTTTCTGGCTGGAGGTGGCTCTTCATCATGGATGGTTGGTAAACGGCAAAGTTTATAGCACGGCGTGAACGTGTTATTGACTGCTCGCAGGCGTTATCTCAATTCCGATTGCTTTTTATGGATTCTTTGCGCTTCCTGACTTGCCACATAATACCAGACAGAGCCTTCTATCTCTCGAAAGAGGTAAGCTTGGTCGTTTCGCGGGCTTTCTTGAGTGTATTCTAAGCTGACGGGGCCGATAGGACCGCGAATATGGCGTTGATCGCGTCAAAGCCATGGGTCGAAAGCCACCATCCAAGTTAACTCTCAAGGGTATAAGGATATATACACTTCGTGGCAGCTTTGGGCCTTCATTCTTCCCTACCTCATGGTGGCTGAAGCTGGTTCTGGTACCGGTTACTTCAACCTCTACCTCAAGTCTGAGGGCTATAGCGTGGTTAAAACGAACATCCTGCCGAATATAGGTACCTTAAACATTGCCGAAAGTACAACGTCGATGCAATAAATGCTGACCAGTTTCTTCTTTCAGGAAACGCGATGCAGATCGTCGCTGCCTTCACAGTGGGCTGGCTGTCAGATGCCACGGGTAGTCGTGTGTTGACAGTGGTGTTCGTGCAGGCCCTAGTTCTTGTCTTGAATATTATACTGTCGATATGGAATGTCCCCAAGGCGGCATTGCTCGCGGCCTTCTATCTGAGCTACACGGGTGGTGCGGCTCAGCCAATTGTCATCAGCTATGGACATGAGATCACGCAATGGAATGCGAATCTTCGACAATTGCTAGTCGCTACGGGAAACATTTTTACCTACACTTTCAGTGCTTGGATGCCCGGTGAGTCTGATACTATACTGGGATGGCTCCGATGTCGCACATCTCAGGTAGTCCCGTTGCTAATGACATGCGTTAGTGGTGCTATTTCCGACATATGACGCTCCCAAGTATAAATACGGTTACCAGATATTGATTCTCTTCGGGTTACTGGCTGTTGCGGGTATTTTACTTCTTGACTACCTCTACAAGAGAGACTTGTATGTAAAATTCCGAGCAGTATTACATGAAGTATCGTTAGAAGAGAGCTGACAACCAAGCAGTAAACGCAACGCACAGCTTTACGAGGTTGAGTTCCAGTCCGAGAATGATCAGCTTGCATCGGAGGAGGTCAATGATGATGGATTAGAGTCCGGTCGAAACGCTTTTCAAAGCCCATACGGGACCGTCGCAAACGTGGAGACACCGCTTAGGGCCAAGTAAGCCAAAAACCCCTCTGAGAGTAGGCATTGACTATATTCCACGGACCAAAGGACGAAGACTCTATTGGGAGGCTTAGCAATGCGAAGGGGGGGGCCACTCAATGATTGGCGAAAGACATCCGATTGGTACTGCATGTTACTTCGCGAGGAATTGCCGTTGGACCCTCGATATGGGCGATTGCAAGACGTTGAACCTAGGTCAAATGCTTTTTTCATTTTTGTACAGCGTTGAAATGTTATGTACAAGCATGATGGAAAGATTAATAGACCAAAGGTGCTAGAACCAGGCTACAAGATCATGTCTTCGGGCCAATTCCATGACTTTTTCAAGTGCGCTAGGCTACCACAACATGTTAACCACCTATTCTGGGCTTTGGTGCCAAGACCAGTGAGGTGATCGCCAACTTACATCAATGATACGTCCCAGCTAAAGTCATCTGCAGTATTTGATAAAAAATCGTAGAGGACTTCTTGCTCTTCTTGGAATGTGAAACGGTCGCCCGCCAACACTATTGCCATGCATGCAGATCTGTGAAAGAGTCAGTATATCATCATCCAGAATTATGAGGGGGCTTCAACCCACACGTGAGCTGGGTTACATGGGCTGATCGAATCCGCCATACCAGCAAGTATTCTCACGTCGGTAAAAATCTCGTTCTACAGCCTGTATGTGAGCACAGAGTCTGCAGACCCTACGAAATACAGACTTACGTTGATCGACCGAGCCGCTTGCTTGGATAATTTAGCCAGGCGCTGCGCATCGGGGTTGTGTATCGTCAAGAGGATACGGTTGACATGATAAAACAAAAGCCCCATCACAACGGAATCGTTCAGAAGAAGAATCTCCGGGAAGAAGCTACCACGCAACGGGGCTTGCACCAAAACCGGCGTGAACGACTCCGGAACCGACCTCATCCACTTCGCGGCGTATGATACCAGCTGGTCGTAGGTCTCGCGGCGTTTGTTGTCTCCATAGCAGTAATTCAGCACGTCAACGGTGTGGAGACACATCCGCCATGCCCAGATGTCATCGTCTGCTGGTTGGAGGGAGCGATCAAAATCGACGTGCTCTATTTCGAGGTTTAGCTTTTCGTTTCTCATGACGGACCGGAAGATTTCGATGCGTATCCAGGCCCACATTGCTGCCTCCAGGAGAGTGCCATGTTCGGGAGTCTTTATATGAGTAGAGAGGAACTTCCATATTGGTGTCTTTTGACATATCGGTATGGCTGTTTAATATCCAGGTAAGCAAAAAGGAACGAACAGTCTAAGTTCACATCAACAGCCCAGTCAATCTGAGCTTTGTCTAGAGGGCGGACTTGCTATAAATATTTTCATAAAGCCTCAGCAGAACAGCAGCAGCAATCTGGGCTTCGTCCACTTCAAGGACAGTATCATCCAAGACAGGCTGAAGGAACTCCATGGCCATCTCATAGTACCGTTCTGCAGGCTTATCGAAGAAGTTCAGGCTGACTCCATCATCCTTTGACTTTGCTGAGACAGCTAAGACGGCATTGAGCAGCACGGGACTGAGAGCGGCATGCTGCAAAAGAAGAGTCGATATCCGGTTGTGCGGGTCACCATAGTCGAATGAACCGGCGATAAACTCCCTAAAGTGCCGAACCAAATCTGCCTCACGACGGTCTTCTAACGGAAAGTTGGCGGAACTGAAGGATCGACGCGGTTCGGGCAAGCTGGGATCATCGGAGTGGCTCCCGCTGCCAATGTCGCTTATTGGCACGGATATTTGGCTTCGAGGAACGGGAGAGAAGGACCGTGGCGCATCATCTGATTCCAGGTGGCCTGACGACGGGCTTCGGAAAGCAGGATGAGGGTGCAATGCGGGTAGCTTGTTCAAGGGGTACGGCTGGCCTTGTTCGATGGGCAGCAAGCTTCGATCAGTCTCGTTAATAGCTGGATCGGAGGTACGGTTTGGGCGGTTCTTCGGTGACGGCTTGACAAAGTCGTGATCGTTCTTCTTAGTCCGCCGCAGTTGCGGCTTCGGGAGGCTCGGGGGGAAGTCTTCAATCGAGACAAAGTCGTCGTCGTCAGAATCGAATCCATCGTTGTGGAGGCTGTTTATATCTGCAGTTTCGTCGATGAAGCGTATTCTCTTGCCTGATACCCGACACCACTTTTGCGTATCAGAGAACTCATACTGGGCGTCTCCACGGTTGCCATCGGTGTCACTGCAAAAGAAGAATAGTCAGTTGCATGCTGGTGAATTGTGATAGCCTGGCAGAGAGTCTGGGAACCAATAAGGGGAAGGGGGATAAACGATTTACCTCGGCACAGTGATGTGTCTGAACTTGAGCTTGGTAGCACGGACACAAGCCCTGCCTTTCCGGACACACTGCCCGCAAGGGGCTCCTTTATCGCCTATAGAGATGGGTCAGCTATTGAAAGGAATGCCGCCAGCGTTGCCACTGTCGACGTGGGATGTATCCACCCCCGCACACTCACATTTGATATGTCTGGGGAAGGCGGTACAAAATCAGATTAGTGAACGGTCCAGGGCTATGCGGCAGATCGTCTTCGGTCTCGGATTTGGGGGGCAAGAATGGCGGCCGAGAGAAACGACTGCCATCCCCGCGGGTCCCGCGAACCTATCCGAGAGGCCAGGGGTCGCTACCGCCATCTATCCAAAAGGAAGGGACGAATGATTTACAGATGGATGGGAATTAGACGATTGGACTAAGACATACCTTGAGCGACAGCTTTCGCAGCCCGGCCTCCTTACGGTTCCCGGAGTGGGCATTTGAGGTAAGAAAACAGCGACGTTTCTTTTAACCTGCAGGGCAGCGATTCCTCTTCGACGGCGGACGGTGCTCAGGTGGGACAGCAAAAGGCGAGCAGCATGTTTGTGGGGGAAAAGCGAACAACAGAGGTTCGAACCGGCGGCGGCTGGTGTGGGATGGGAATCGGGCCAATGTAGACCATTGCAATACGCGCGAAGGACGTGGGCCTTTCGCGCGGTTTTATCCAAGCCTGGCGAACGAGGGAGGTGTTTCCGTGCGGGGAGAATAATCGGAGGCGGGCGAGAACGCCGAAAGTCCCCGATCGCGCCTCAATATCATTCGGGCCCGCGGGACGGGTGTTACAACGATAGTCTCGTGCTTAGGCGTACTGACTTTGGGTTCGAGCTTAGGCTTTAACGTTGAATGGTCGTTGTTATTGGACAGCACAGTAGACACAAAGGTGCAATTAATAGACTTCTACTGTAAGGCTTGTGAACTCAACTCGCCAATAATACGTGCTTGGAGACGAATGCACGGGTATGCTCACCTTATTCGACAGCTTGAAAACCCTCACATAGCCTCAAGCCGTTACGAATCTAATACTAGTTATCCCCAGATCGAAGCGGATACTTGTTTGAGTTGGCGATGATCTCATACGCAGTCTGGGGTAATGATTTCCCCAAAAGTCGCCGGATCTCTGGAATCAAGCCTACCAACGGGCTCTCGCGGAAAACATTGCTGCATTAAACCAACAAAGCAAAACAAGAGCGAAACCCCAAAAGATACTCCACTGACTCGGCCTCTGCCCCGCGCTCGGGATCGCCACGGAGGCCGCGTGAATTTTACCATGTTTATCGTGAAGGGCAAGACCTTCCGTCGTCTGACAGCTTCTCAGACGAATTGGTGATCGTGATTGGTCTGTTCAGCCAACCTTTCTCGATGTCGTCTGCAACAGCTTCAGCCTCTAGCCATGGCATCTTGCGCTATCAGTTTCCCGAATGCCGCAGAACACCGGCAGACAGGAAGTTCCAACCGTGTTCAGTGTCATCGTGAGTACGTCTTCTTGGAACAATGACTTTGGAAGCTCCATATTCGTGCATGCCAGTGTCTTGTTCGCACATAAGACGAGGAGCTCGTGCCTAGTCAAAAAAATATCTCCAGTACGCGAATCTTCTCTCTTCATCTTTCTCGTTGAAATACATCCTTTGATACCCCTCGAGAGAAGCTTAAGCACCCCTTGCAGAGCAAATCACATATACAAAATGGTCCAGAAACTCAGAATCGCTGCGTCTGGCCTCGGCCGTATGGGCAAGCGCCATGCCATCAACTTCTTGCACCGCACGCCCCGCGCGCAGCTCGTTGCTGCCTTTACCCCGGACGAGAACGAGCTTGTTTGGGCAAGACAGGAGCTGGAGCCTCACGGCGTCACCCTCTACACCGACTACGATGAGATGCTCACCCACGAGGGCCTCCAAGCCGTCGTCATCGCTACCGTTACCAAGGTCCATGCCGACCAGGCCATCAAGGCAATCAACAAGGACCTTCACGTCCTGTGCGAGAAGCCCATCTCTCTCGACCTCGCCAAGGTCAGTGATCTAACTCATCAATCTCTGCCCCATGCTCACTGCTAATCAATCGCAGTCTATGGAGGTTGTCACTGCTGCGCAGCACAAGCCTCATCTCAAGGTCATGTGCGGCTTCTCCCGCCGCTTCGACTCATCATACAGAGATGCGTTCGAGAAGATTGAGGCGGGCTTGATCGGCAGGCCTTCCGTTATCAGATCGCAAACATGCGACAAGCATGATCCCAGTGGCTTCTTTGTCAAGTATGCGGCCCTCAACGGCGGTTGTTTCGTTGACATGAGTGGTGAGTGTTCATCTGCTCCTCCCGAGCATCGAAATGTGATTGGCCACCTATCCTAACAACCGAGCATAGTCCACGACATTGACCTGTCACTATGGTTCTTTGGCGAGAACTCCCAGGTCAAATCTGTGTCGGCATCCGGCATTACAGCTGTCTCCCCTGAGCTCAAGGAGCACGGCGACTGCGACAATGCCGTCGGCATCGTTGAGTTCTGGGGCGGCAAGATTGCCTACTTCTACAACTCGCGTATGATGGCGCACGGACAAGAGGATACCACCGAGCTCATTGGCACTGGCGGCAAGCTCACCGTCAATGGCAACCCCCAAGCCAACTTTGTCAACTACTACGGACCCCAGGGTATCACAAGAGAGGTCCCCGCCCACTACTACGGCCGATTCGAGTACGCCTTTGTCCAGGAGGCCAACGAATTCACCGCTGCTGCGCTTGACAACACCAAGCTGCCGCTGAAGTTGACCAATGCCGTCAAGGCGGTGCAAATTGGCTCTTATCTGCAAGAGGCATTGGAGTCGGGCAAGAAGTTGTGCTTTGACGAGATTGGACGTCGCCTTGACAAGCAGGCCAAGTTGTAGATGATTACGTCGGGAACAAATAGAATTTCCTCTCTCAGGTAGTTAATGAGAATTAAAAGCATGTACTCACTTACCGAACACGTCGTACCTTAGTTTGTGCATGATGATATTGCTACCCAGAAAGAAATGGATGCCACAAGACATTAGACTAACAAGTAAAAAATTGACTTCTTCAGTCGTCACATGTCTTGAGGGAAATTGTTACAATTTGCCTGCCAGAAAACAGACGTGCCCGGCAGGCAGAATGAGCTCTGCCGAAACCTAACGATTGCACCAGACATGAGCTCAAAGCTTCTTCTCGGCAAAAGTTGCACTAGGAGCAAGGAAGTACTAAATGACTTTTGATCATATCATTTTCGGGCCTCTGCAAAGAGATGACCAAAGGCACTATTGCAACTGTCTTGTGACCACTGTGAGTCCAGTTGCTCCTCCAGGTCCTTCGTCCGCCATCCAGTCCTCTGATGTATTTTGTCGAGCAAGTCCAAGCTTTCGCGTTGCTCTTTCGGGTCCGTAAGATATAGTCCGCCTGTATTTGTAAACAAAATAGTCAGCCATGTATTCGCTTGAGTCAGGGTTCGGCAGGGGCGCTTACAAGCTCTCAATGCATGGGCTGCTGTGAAACTGGCGTTGACTACTAACGGATTGCTGATTGCGAGGCCTAAAAGTAGGCGGAAGTTGTCGAGAACTGCTTGCTGCGTGGTGTTAGTATAATCGTACGAAGTTGCCAGAAGCCTGAAACTCACCTCTGATTCCCTCCTCCGCCTGAATGTATCGAGACTCGGTTTGCTCAAGTATGGGTTGAAGATATGCAGGATCATGCGTGCAAGGCTATAATGCTGGTATCCCACCACTGAAATTTGTTAACTTCATCCAGGGTAAAAGATGATTCGTAACTGTTGATTCTTACCATGAGCAGGATGCGTCATCCATACTGTAGGAAACGCAGACCCGTTGGCACTTGTATCATGCGGTGGGTCTACCCAGAGAGGATCCGCGTGCCACGGATTAGAGATAAGCCAGTTTCCCAGCTCCTGATTAAGTTTGTTCCATCGATCGAGGTCTCTGACCATGGTGGGTTGAAAGGCGTACGCGCAAGCTTGTGCGCACAGAAAGACGGCGCGGTTGGCGAGGCACTCTGCATCTGATACGACAAACGAGCTTGAACCTTTGTAGCTGTCCAAGTTGATGCTTAGGGGTTGAGACTTGACCAGGGCGACCCAATAGTCCTGGCGCAACACAATCCAGCTTGCTGCCTCTCCAAGTCCACCTTTGCTCGCTAGGCTGAACATGGAGTTGAGAAGCTTGGAGCTGCCTGATAAGTGAACGCCAAAGTCGGTATCTGGACAAATAAAGTCAGTTATCAAGTATAGTCGCAACTAACATCAAGTTTAACAGCTCTCACCAGTCATCTCTTCGTATTGTCTCAATATTACAATCGCGGCAAGGACTTCTTCGTTGAGGGCTTCTGTAGAGCTGCCTAGTATCGGAATCAAGATTTGCAAGGCGTGGCTGTAGTACGTCGAAGGTTTGGAGTCTTCGGTTCCCTTGATACAACAAAGGCTTCGAGATGCCAGTGCTATAATCGCGTATGCCAGCAGAGGTGAATTACATGCTCTTTTAGGCACTTCTGTTCCGAAATGTCGACGTTTGTCGCATATGTCTACCTGTACAATTCTGAACACTAGCCTTTCACCGCTGTATTGGAGTATTCTCAAGGTACTTGCCCATGTAGAGAGATCATGAATATAGTGCATGAATAGCCTCGCCTTCTCCCTGTCTTCGAATGGTCTGCCGATTCCATGTTGACTCAACGACGGGGCAATTGAGATGGATCGGATAGAGTCATCTTGACTTTCTCTGTATCACCGGTATCAATAAGGGCTCTGAAGTTGCGGACACGTGTTGAACTTACCCTATGTCTTGATCTAGGCCTCTTTGGCCAGCACGCCTCGCAACGCTGATGTCTAAGAGCGACGGCAAAGGACTCGTCCATATCTCGCCGGGCGTATCATGCTCAGACATCCCTCAACATAACCGCGATGCTGTCTCGAGGGCAGGATGAAGTCGTCTCCAATCGAGATGGGCCGATTTCATCCAGCTGTACCTACTCAGACGGACGTCCGGACCGGGGTTCGCAGAGATAGGCCCTCAGTGGTTACATGTACGAATAGAGATGTAAAGTTCGCGTAGGAAAATGATCGCGGAGTTCGGCGGATTACATTTCCTCTTTCGGGTTAGGATGTGGCGGTGCGGAAGGGGAAAGATTGCCCTCTTCGACTTTTCCATTGCCATCTTCTAAAAGGAGCTACCCGTAGGCCGAGGGCCCAATAATAACCCCGCTTTCCATAGAGCCGACACGGAGTGGCCCGCGTCCTCGACCGTCACTTCAAGAGTTCAGCCTCCTGGTTTCTCAAGCTGGCAATTTCACCAAAGTTCAAGATCCCGTAAATCTCAAACGCTATTATGTTATTTTTTAAGAGCATCCAATGAGATTGATCTTTAGAAACCTTTCTTTAATTGCCGACGGCTAAAAGGCATATCATTGTATGGATACGGATCCACGCACTAGGCGGCTGTCATCTCATTGCGCTCAGACTTCGGTTAGCACGTGAAACTCCATTATGCAGCTTTGACTTCTGGATCGCTACGAGAATGCCTAATATACCATCCACACTATCTCTAAAGTTGTTCCTGGGCCCTAATTTGGCGAATTGGCTACCCATTTGGACGTGATTGAAGTCTCCGAATATGGCGTGCATCGATCTCTTCTAATAGCACCTTCCCGATGTCAAGGACGCAAAGTCAAGCCGCGTGTAACGACGAGGAATGTGATTCCTATGGGGAAGCTCAATATTGGTAGCACTTAGAATCGGTGAAATTTGGAACCTTGGAATGCACATGCGAGACACATCCCGCGGCTTATACTGCATTAATCAGTTTAACATCTTGGTGAATGACATCTTGGAATCTTAGCTATCGCGCCTAAGGTGGCCTGTATCGGGGTAGTAGCACGAGCGTCTGGGACAAGGTTCCCATCGGGAAGGTCTGTACAAGTCTAGAAGAACTTAACCGAAGTAGCAGCAAGGCATTACTAAGACGGTAGAGCCACGGAGCGCCACGGAGATGGTCACGGAGTGGGACTTCATATTCCAATGTTGGGGCCTGACAAACTTAGCAACGAACAATGAGCCAATTCCAATGAGCGGCAGGCCATCGGCAACCGGACCGATCTATGACTCACACACGGTTCGACGCGTCGTAAATGGTGCCGGTGCGATGCCAAGGTTCATACCACGCTTGCCAAGCCAACTTTGAGATGAACCCAGGCTGTAGCCGAAGCACTCAGTCGTTTAGAGTTGACCGGCCGGGACGTCGGCCGGAAAGTGTGGGACTGTGGATACCTGAGGCAGCGGCTGGTGCCCCAGGCACCAGCTGCCTGATCCACCTCCTGGTTGATCCAGCCCACCGCAGCCACCTTCACCACAACATCACCAACCAACCGTCAATACCAGTCGTATTGCCTCATTGCTTGCCTCGTTGGTCCAGATGAGCAGTGTGTACTGCCCACAGAAAGTCATTACCCGGCGTTAAGGGATGTCGCTGGCGAAGAACGTGTGCGGACTTATTTGTCCTCGGAAGCAATCCCAGCATACATGAACTGATGATTGCAAATTCAGTAAGATTTCCAATTGTAATAAGTCCGATTGAGCCATAGGGCAGATGAATTAAATAAATAAGTCCGATTGATGATGCGAGTAGAGCATTCGATGTCTTTTCCAGGGTTATAAAGGTAGATGCTGCCCTGGTGGATTTGCATTCGTTGACAAGCTACACATGTAGCTGATATGAAGTCGTTCAGTAATGGAAAAGCAACAAGAGACAATGGTAGTCAGATGCCGGGTTGATGATCTCGAGACTGGCAAGCAAGGGCCAGTCCCAGTCGCCAATTTACAATTTTCATGAGACCATCAGCATGACTTTTCCAATGCGCAGGGAAGGCTGAAGGGTCCGGACTGGCTTTGGAAATATCACGCTACGGTGCGCCCTACATGGTTTCAGCGAAACTGGTCATTTGGGAATGTCACACTACGGCGCCCTACGTGGTTTCAGCGGAAGTGAATCGAACTGAACACAAAGACACGGCCCCTCACTAAACACATGAGGTCGGTGCCAGTCCCACGGGGTCGAAGACTAGATTTAGGAATAGCATTCCCCAGGATCAGATCATATGCGATTCTACTTCAGTCAGTTGGTCAGGCAGTCTGGTTTGGTGACTCGTGGATGAGTTCTCAGAGGCCTTCCTGGCCATAGACACACGTACTGTAATACCGCTCCCCAGTGGACCGCCCAAGACCAAACCAATCACGGCAGGGCTTAATGGGGAACATTGAAAATGAGGTGCTTGCGAATGGTCCATAGGATACCCTCGTCAGGGGCGCAACTCAACACGGAAATGACAATTTCTCGCACCCGTTGATGGATAGAGTATACTTACTCGGAGTAGCACGGGTCTTAAGACTTGTGTGAAAGAATAAACAGACTGAAGAATCATGCTTCGAAGCCAGAGAATCGCAAGCATCTTCTGTAGCCTCGCACTCCAGAAAGGTGAAATACCTGAAGGCTCTAAAGCACTGTACTTCAATCCGAGGCAGATGAGGAAAGTGAGGGGCAAGGGCGGGATTCCACAGCTAAAGGTAGGTACACTATTTCAGAAGGCCGGACTCGTAACACCGAAACAAGAGACTGGAGACATGAATTGAATGGGAGGTTTTCCGCGAGGATCGAGCCATGGCAATACGTGACCATCGCGGCGGCCGTGAAATGTGCTTTCTTTTTTCCCTTGAAGCGATGATGGCACCTTCGATTGTGAAGAGCAGCGTGGCTTGGCCCGGGATGAGGTGCGTCAGAACACTATCAGGCTAAGAAAGCCCCCCTAGACTCCATGAAAATACGTGCTTCGTGGCCCATATCCGTGCCACTTAGATTTGGGCTATTGTTATTGAAGAGCGTGATGAGATCCCTCTAGCTGTACCTGGCCGACTGGGGTGTACTGCCGCACTCTTTCGGTGAAAGCCAAATTGCAAAAGCCCATTGATTCGGAAGATGGTCTGGTCATCTTCGCCATTGCTGGACCCCGATTTTGGAGTTGGCGCTGGCTGTAAAGAACTTCTACATGGGCCTACCACACGGGATAGGGGCGCAACGGCCAAGTCGCGATGCCATCCCCATGATTACCAAATCGCCACGGCGGCCCTTGGCCTCTTCCGCTATCTTCTTTGATGCCTCGGATCAAGCGAGATTCCAGAGTTTGCCTCGATACAGTGCAATTGAAAGCCGGAACATTGTTACTAGATCTCTGGGTTTAATACTCCTCGGTGGATGAGAGGTTTTGGCGATGTTGCGGTGCACCTGGGCGCGAACAGTTTACAGGGTTTCTGGCCCAAGAAGGTGGCCAACTCTCTTCGCGTCCCTGAATCCCGAGAAATTGGGCTATTTCGTCGAATGATTGATCGAAGCTCCGTTCGCATGCTAACTACTATTATTTTCGTGCTCCGTAGGAACTCTTCGGCTCTATACCTTCAAGGATACATTCATTGTCCATCTCCTACAGAGACTTGTTGCTCGGTACGTGTTTTCTCAAACGTCGACTCACAACACGACACCACGAGACATGGAAGGCTATTATCGCCGTTAAAGTAGAGCTATCAAATAGAATAGAATCTGAGTCACATGCAATTGTATTCGATCCATTTGCCCCGGAGCGAATGTTCCCCTTGCAGCGCGGCTGCGCGGCTGCGCGATCAACTTTTGGTTAACTTCCATTGGCAACCGCAGGCGAGATGAGTCAGATGACAACGTTCTCGGGCTGGTGGACACTTCACACCCTTAGCCGGTCAATCGAAGGCTCCTCTTCAGCTAGATGTCTAGATGACGGCACTGTCTAAAGGCCAGGGCATTACTACAATTGAGTAAGCTGAAGCTCGAGGATTGCTGTCCGTCCGGCTCTGGGCCCATTGACAGCCTCAAAGAAAGGTGCCTTCATGCAAGAGCACATCAGGGTCAAGTACAGCCTCGACAAGGCTTACTGAAAACAAGGGACATGATTTTTCAGCCCGATAAAGATTCAATAGCATGATCTAAATACTTAGATTGACTGCTTCGTGAAGCCATTGACATGCCTCCCTCACATCCCCTTGTATCCTATTGAGCACCAAGGTAGATGACGTCAGCACCCAGAACCTCCATCTGCCCTTCTATTCTCACCTCTGAGGACTTTCCAGGTCGTATGTATAAGACATATGGGAGCTGATAGCCACAAACTACGTTGCTATCCCGCCTAGCTTTGTACTTGCATCATCTAGCACTCGAAGAGGTAGGACCTCAACTTCGATGCATTCCATATCCAGCGATCGCTGCGAGAAGTCTCTGACACGTTGAATGTCAGTGGCGCGCTTGACTAGACCCCAAATGAAATGGACTTCCGACTTTTCGTCTTGGATGTCGCGCTTTGTGATGCCCTCGCCGTATGGCATGGTGATATTTGCGGAAAGGGGTCGAGAGTTGGCATAGATATTTCAGGCTGAAGCAGACCGTATAACTACCGTCCAAAGAAGATGAAACATGGTATCTCTCCTTGTCGACTATGTTCGATGGCGATTAGTCACTCCTGCACTTTCATATCTGCATCTTGTATCTGGAACAATATGATTCAGACATCAGTCCATTAAGTAAGTGCTATCAAGATACGAAAGTC